ACAGTGGACGAGCAGGAGACAAGACAGACACAAAAACCCTCTTTCCACTGGCCGCCAGGATCCAGGACATGAACCTTAGAATAAATTTAACTGAACAGAACATCTGGCACCGAATGCTCAGGCTGATCATAATATAAACCAAAGGAAACAGGTGAGAGGAATAATTAGATAATTGCGGCAGGGAGGGAAAACGGCAGGTGAAAGAAATAACCAATTAAGGTGGAGCAATCAGGCCAGATCATGACAATGGATGGAGTAGCCGGAAATTTTATGCAAGTTAGAGTAGTAATTCTCTCTAAGATTATTACTCAAGTAAAGGTAAAAAGTACAATGCTACAATTCAATTTAATTCAGTTTATTTATAGAGTGCCAATTCACAAATAATGTCATCTCATGGCACTTTACAGTTCACCAGATCATCCAGTCAGATTGATTCAAAGTTTTCTATCTAAGGAAAACCAGTTGATTGCATCGACTCATTGACTCAAATGCAATCCCTTACACTAAGCATGCTTGTAGCGAACGTGGAGAGGAAAAACTCCCTTTTAACAGGAAGAAACCTCCAGCAGAACCAGGCTCAGTGTGAGCGGCCATCTGCAGAGGCCGACCGGGGTTCAAGGAGACAGAAGCAGAGATACAAAAAGCAGCTGTAAAAGGCGGCCCCATCCAGGAAACACACAGCCAGGCAGATGAGCTCTGAGCCAGCTCCCATGCCAGAGGACGAAGAGAGCACATCTGGCCACTCACTGTTAGAGAAACAGGACTACACTGGAAAACAGGCCAATCTCCAACATCTATAAACAAAGGTGTTAATGGCAGCAGCACAGCTGATATTTCTCTCCAGGATGGTGTCACAGCAGGACAGGAACATACTACATCTGAAAGTAATTTTTTTTTTTTTTAAAGTTACTCAAGCAAACGTTACTGACTAAATATCACTTGTTACTCCCAGCCATGCCCAAACTAGATGTTGTTTTTTTTTGCTACAGTAATATAGCTAATAATTGGATTTTGGATGGAGAAAAACTGGGTTGCACGCTGAGGTAGTTAGTAGCTCTGTTGTATTGCAGCAAGAAGGTTTGATTTACAGCCTTTCTTCCATTGAGTCTACATGTGTTTGCTTTGCATTCATGTTTTCTGCTTCTTCCTCCCACGATCCAAAAACATGACTGTACGGTTAATTGGAGTTTCTAAGTTGCTGTTTGGTGATTGTCTGGATGTGTTTTTTCTGGGATAGAATGGAGACCTGTCCAGGATGTACCCAGAGAAAGAGGAAGAAAATGGACAAGGGTTATTATCATTATATATGTTATTTGTAGACAATGCTGAATGAATAAACGACTATTTAAAGCTACAGTGTGTAATAATTACAGGGATATACAGTCAGAAATGTAATATATTATACATAACTATGTCATTTATCATCATCTACGAGCTCAGCCTCTTAACCTTAATATTTGCGTTGCCTCAGAATTCGTTATTTATAATTACATAGGAGCGGGTCTCGCAGCCATGGAGGCAGACATCTTTGCGCTACGGCAGCGCAGAGCCAACAAACTAGCGATTGCGGGATCGCCCATTACGCTCGAAAGTAACTACGGCAAGTTGAGAGAGATGAACTAAGACGGTACTGAAATCTATACCATACACAGACTAATGAAATACTATCTGTAAAATTATCTATGTAAACAAACCTCATCACTTGAGAAGGTAGGTGATGCGGACGTCGTGGAAGACATTTTGTCTGTCATGACATGTTCATGTTGCTGCAGTCTGGACGTTAGATGTCGCTGAAAATGACACACTGTAGCTTTAAAAATGTACACATGGTTAATTTAGATATGCTTGTAAAGCTCAAAGTAGAATCTTAGCATCCCAAAGCTGAAAAGAAACATTTTAGTCAGCATCTTCAGTAGAGTCTGTTATAAGAGAGAAATGTGATGCACACAACAGAGGCAGTTTTGTTTACACCTGCGTGCAGCTGAATCCCTTTACATGTGCCAGGTGAGATAGCCACCCTGCTTTTGCATGAACAGAGTTTAAAAACCTTTTGGTTGTGTTTTTATTTCTGTTTACATACAGATTGAAATTAATTCATAATCATGAATGCTTGGAGAAATCCTGCAGTAAACAAGAGTGCAGAGGCAGTAAAAAGGCCTCATCTCAGTCAGAGCATCACTATGGGAGCAAAGTCAGTGAAACAGACTGGATTGGAAGAGAAATGTTGAAAAAATGCCTTGTTTTAATGCTACTGTGCTAGCACTGTCTTTAAAAGATGGGGGTGTTACATTTATCTTGGCCTTAACTTGAGGACACCCCACTCAGCTTTGCAGGACAGTGAGAGTGGCTGCAGACTAATTAATCCTCTTAGTGTTCTTCACTCCGCAGCTTCGCTTTGTGGCAGTTCTTGACTTCCTTTCAAAAGAGTCCAGGTGGTGACCTACAATCCAGGGAGGGGAAGTTCCCACATCTTTGACTCGGCAGTACAGAGCTCCTCATTCCTGATGGATTTCTCTTAGATTAAGCTTTGTTTGGATTGGTTACCTCTTTATTCTGATATCTGTCAGGTGTGCAATGGAATCAGAGGAAGTGGATTATGAAAAGCTTGTTGCGTCTATCCTAGGAAATATGCTGGACTTGAGGAGTGGATGCATCATATGTGAATCAAGAGAGGTTAGTACTCTGCTGGAGCATTTTACACTGAATAGTTTTTTTGTTTTTGTATACACCACTCTAAAGATAAAACAGATACTGGAAAAAATACAGATTGAAGTTTTATGTTGTTTTCTTCAATATCCCAAATCACAAAATTTTAACTGTAAACTGCTTGTAGATGTCCGTCCTGTTGTGCGTATGGGCACGTAATCTCAGTGGGAAGAAGATTGGTAGTGGATGCTCAGAGGCTTGGAAATGGGAGACTAGGAGCCAGAAGGACCTCAAGGAGTTTAAATCTGCATAAACCAGCTCAGGGCTAATTTTAGCCACCTGATAATTCACTTGGAGGCTCATAGCACACACTGTGTCGACATGTGGAGACAATTAGGTTTTACATTGAGTGTGTGCTGCACGCCCAAAATCTGCCTCTGGGATATTATAACAAGTTGATGCTATTTTTAATTTAAAAAAGGAGCAAAATTACATTAGAGTATCTGAGTATATTTTTCTTTTCACAGAAACCAGGTCCATTTATAGAGGTTATATGAAAACTTGAGCTAAAATTGAGCTCTGATTAATATTGACCTCCTTTGTTTCCTAAATTTCATTTGAGTAGATATTTCCTATTTCATCAATATATATACCGTATGTATATAGTTAGAAATGAAGGTAAATGCATCTGTCACTGTGATTGATGTTCATAGAGATACTTTAAAGGCTGCCAAGGCTTCCTAAAGTGTTGTTCAGATGCTCATTGACAGAATTTTCAATATTAAGTCTGTTTTTTTCCCTAGGTGCTATGATAATGCTACAAACATACATTTCTTAAATAAAATAAACTACCAAAAACAAGCTTTCATTTATTCTGGACATTGTGTTCATATGTTCTACCTTCCCAGTAGTATTTGCTTTTCTCAGTAAGCCACAACTCAACTGCACACTCTTTGTATTATCAAGCTTCCTGCTATTATCCCTGTTGGATATTTGACCATTCTGCTTGTGCTGAATGGTTTAGCATAGCCTACATCTTCCAAACCAGCTCTGATATGTTTTGGGGAAGATTTAACTATTAGAGTACCCAGCTGTGTCCATGTTTCAATTACCTAGCTGTTGATTTGAGATAATGTTAAGAAATTGGGAGGTACTCCACACATTTACCATGACTTTTCCCCCCATTTTTACTCAATGCACAACTGCAGCTGGCAATGAAGCAGACCCTCAGCATTATGCTTCCATTTCCATACTTAACAGTTTCCATGGTGTCAGAGGGCTTAAAAGCCTAAAGAGACACCAAAAAATAAGATATTTTAAAAACAGGCTTATAAAAGTTTTGGATTAAAGAAAATTCCAACACAATTGAAAATGTGCATTCAACTGATGTTCTGAAAAAATAGACATTCTACACTGCAGAAACGATCTAGAAATAAGTTAAAATTTCTTAAATGTGTGTATTTACCCTTAATTTGAGTAGGTAAATTCGATGATTTGCCAATGAAATTACTATCTTTACTCTTTAAATAAGATAAATAGATAATATGAATTTGAAATAAGGCAATCCAATTGTTTTTTTCTTATTTTAAATGTAAATTGTCTTGTTTTATCCTCAATTGGAGAAAAAATGCACAAGAAAAAATGACTTACTTAGATTTCCATTTTTTGCAGTGTACAATGGTTTAAATGCAGCATTAAAACTCCAATAGAACTGTGCACAAGCCAAAAGCAAGAAAAAACAAATTTACTGTCTGGGCCCAGGACAGGTTATTATCATCGATGGACGTTAAGCAGATTAGATGTAAGATAGAACTTCACATATTAGACGACTGAGGGACCCCCTGTTGCTGTCTTGCTGAGTAGTTAAGATAAAGGCAATTCTGTTCTATATCCAAGTCTAAGTACTGACCCGAATCCAATTACAAAGGTTGGGAGAGAGTCTGAGTTGAAGAGTTCATGTAAGAAGATGAATCAACATCCTGGAAATGAATCCTCTCTGCATATAGAAGTGGAAAAAAGAGATCAGACATTGTTATGTATCACTTTTGTGGATTCCCGAGTTGTTTTAGTTTCCACATCATATACTTGAGACGTTCGTCATGTAAAAGTTGAGTTTTTGAGCAGATAGATTTGAGCATTTGGAGATGTTATTTCAGAGATGTAACATTTGGAGAGCACAGAGCATTTTGGCAGATGTAAAATTTCTGCAAAATCATTTCCCTTTTTTCAATGGAAATAAATGTTTGAGGCTATATTAATCTCACTTCTTTCTAATTGCCACTGTCTGTTTTTTTTTTCTTTCCTGTAATACCCTTTAAGTCCTCAGCCTTCTCCTGATCTTAGCCCAACAGCTGATGCCAGGTAAGGTCATCACCATGGTGACCTTCGCTGACACCAGGCAGGTCGCCCCAATGGAGCTGCATGAGCCTCCTTCCCTGAGTGCCACGTTGTCTCCTGGGCTCAAACGGAAAAAGATGCTGTGGCAGAATGCGGTGAAACACATCATTACCCAACAAGAGCTTGGAGCTCAGGTGATTAACTGTTACATCCGAGCCTTAGTGTCTCTGTGACCAAGTTTCATCTGTGTAGTTGATTTGAGGTGAAGATAAAGAATGCTTCATTATTCCACCTCCTTTGTACAGTGTTGTGAAAGCCAAGCCTCAACATGAGGCTACCACCATCGTTATCCACAGCTGCAACCATGAAATCCTTTTATTTTGAAGATAAAAATTCCAATGTATTTAAAAAAACAAAAATGTACAATCTTTCCCCTCTTTTATTAGGTGGGTGTGGAACCTACACGTAAAATCTTTGTGACAGACACCTACATAGATGAAATCAACAGGCAGATCCGCAGCAAAGCCTCCCGTGGAGTCACAAAACGGCGCTCCTCTACATTCAGAGTCCATGGCCGATCCTCCACCATCACCCATCGTAGCATCAGGTCTTCAACGCAGGACTACACCAGTGATGCCGACTTTTTTGTGCACTCGTGTAACACTGTTCATAGCGTTTACATACCCATGCTGGGACACACCTTCAAATCTCACGATCTGGAAAAGCTCTACCAGCAGTACTCCTCCCACCAGAGGAGAAACTCTCTTGCCATCACCAATGTGATCGATGCAGTGGCCAAGCTCCACATGTTGGTCCTGTATCTTGCTCTTGCTCCAGACGCTGTTACGGACTGTTTGCGTGGCTGTTTGACCGGCATTTTTATGTTGGTGGCTATAGCTATTTGCATACTAGTGTTAACCTGCAAAGACTCCATGTCACCACAGTGGCTCTATTATGCTGGCATTGCAAGCTGGCTGTCGCAGACTGCACAGATCCTAGGGGGGCTGGCCTATGGACTAGAAAAAGACCCATCTTGGTATATTTTATTCACACTGTTTGCAACATACACCCTGCTGCCATTACCTCTGCTGTGGGCTATGTGTGCTGGATTCCTCACCCCGATACTGCACATTTCCATGGAGATTTGGCTTTACTACAATGATGTTTTGCTTTTAAATAAGGTGAGAAAATCTGGTCTCAAGGGGTTACAGTTTCTCTTCTATAAGGGTAGCCCTTGGGCTCACTTTAAAACCCCTCAGAGTCTGAACTAAGTACCAGTTGTGTCCAGTTTTCTGGAACCTATAGGGAGAATTTCTGTTTGATCGCGGCTTAATGTCAGGAAAATGTCTTGTCTAACTTTAATAAAATACAAATACCCGAAATAGATATCAGTCCACCCAACGCCCCTCAGCAGTGAACTCAATATAAATATAGTTTTACAACAGTAAACCTACTAAAATATGGCTCTTAATTGAAACCTCAGAAATCTATATCTTATTGAAGGTTGGTAAGAAGTAAAAGCACTTACTGTTTGCTTCATGTCACATTGGAAGAACAACATGTAAATGGTTGATTCTACATTCAAAATGTTTTTTTGTTTTCAAAAAAACCAAAACATCCCCATCCCTTCATGTAAAACAAAAAGAAACAAAACAAATAAATGACTATAATTGAATCATTCATTTGTTAGCCTCAGGAAGCAGGTGTAATCTTTATAGATTGATTAACTTAATCAAATATAGCAGTTATAGAGTGGAAATTGTTTTAAAAGACTTCATAAAGGGGCAGATGTTTACCTTCCAGCAGGTCAATAACTAGAAATAAACAACCAGAGCTATTAGAAAGCTTTAAAGTTTTTTTAAATGTGTCAGCAGCTCAATTACACTTTAAATCAAGATCCACTAAAGAGTCTGTGGAAAGACTTCTAAACTGCTTTTCACACTATCTCTCTGACTGAGGTTGAGATTTTGTGCTGGAAAAGGTACAAAATATTGATGTTTATTTATGTGGATGTTTCAGCAATTTAATGACTCTGGCTTCTGAATGCAGATCAATTTCTGTTCAGAATGATGTACCTTATTTAGGTGTTTAAGGAAAAAATCCTGATTGTGAACATTAAGATTTGTAGACAGAACATGAAAGTCTGCTAAAAACATAAAGGCTTAAATGTTTTCTTCTGTAAATATGAGCTTAGATAAGGAATAAAATGGTCTGAAGGCATAACTGTCTACCATTCTGAGGCTTTAAATGAACATTATTCATCCAAATCAATTTTTTATAATTAAGGGGGTTTTAAGCATCAAATTATTTGTCCCTCAGCATAACAAACGAATTCCAATCTTCACATTTGAAGATACAATAAATAATTTTCTATTATTTCTTTTCAGTTTATTACCCAGTTTTAAGTTTTTCTTTAGCTTTTTTGACTACAATGTTCTAGAAGTTCTTCGTTGTAATAAAATGGAAATCTAACTCTGTGTCTTCCTGTATCCAATCTGGATCCAGGTGTTTGCCAAAGGCCTGCTGTTTGTAGGTATGAACACAGCTGGCTTGTTCATCCACTACCTGACAGACCACGCCCAGCGACAGGTCTTCCTAGAGACACGCCGCTGCATCGAGGGCCGTCTCAAACTTGAGCAAGAGAACAAAAGACAGGCATTAAAATTCTAGTTACTAATTGGTCAAAGTTTCATTTTTATTCGACCTTTCAGACTATTATCATCTCTTCTATGCAGTATAAATGGTAATGAAGATTTCACTCTTCCTTGTGATGTTGCATGACAGGAGCGGCTGGTCCTGTCAATCCTGCCTCGCTTTGTTACTTTGGAAATGATTGCTGACATGAGCTCCATGGAGAACGAACTGAACCCCCAAGAGTTTTACAAGATCTACATCCACCAGTATAAAGATGTCAGGTGCGTATACCAGCAGACATTGATGATCGTGGAGCTTAGATTACAAAACAATTAGACTTTAGTTTACTTTTTCTGAAAACACCATCCAGGTGTCTTTGTCCGTTCTGTGGGCTCAAACTAGAGAAACCAGACCAAGAATCCAAACACATTAACATGGAAGGGTGATTATTTGTCATAAGTGTTAAAAAATCTATCAGCCATTAACACATTAACACATTAATAGCTGTAGATAAACATGGATTTTGCATGTAAGTGTAAAGTAACACAACATACAGTAAATGCATTTATTTATAGTAAATGGTTCATAAATCTTACATTGGTTTAAATAGTCTTTGTTCCATAAAGAAAATATTTAGTGAAGGTCTGGACAGTCTGAATATGTGAAATACAGAAGTAAGCAAGGAAAGATTTGTCCAGATTTCATAAAGGAATCTTTAAATTAACTCTACATTATCAGCTACTACAAAATGTTTAAAAAGTCATCTGCCTAGTAGAGTCATTTTAGATGCAAATAAAAAGTATTGTTTTAACTTCTTGCTTAATCTTTTCATCTCATGTCAGCACCTGAGTTGTGTCCCCTGGGCAGTCAGCCATGTCGTTAATACTAGGTAACTTGACTGCAGGCAGATTTCAGCAGCGTCATGCAGACTAGAAGCTGCTGAGATGGTTAAGTGTGAATAACAGAAAAGAACAAAGTGCAGAAAAATGCATTTTTTTTAAATAAGTACATTTGCTCTTGGATTGACGAGGTAAAAGAAACATTTTGCCAATAAGACAATTTACACTTAAAATAAAAAAACACAATTGCATTGTCTTATTTCATGTGCATATGATCTAATTATCTTATTTTAAAAGTAAAAATACTCATTCTATTGGCAAACGATCTCATTTACCTACTCAAATTGAGGGTAAATACACTTAATTTAAGAAATTTTTACTTATTTCTAAATCGTTTTTCCAGTGTATTAGAACATTCAATAGTTTAAGCTTGCAGCTCTTCTCAGGTTTAACACTTTGGAACAGCAGCATACAAACACCAAAAGGACCAAATGAGATGAGAATATGTCACAGCCTGTCATTTGAATTAACAGAAACACAGACTTTTGTTTCTGTCCTCTTTTTAGCATCCTTTTTGCAGATATAAAAGGTTTCACCCAGCTGTCTATAAACCTGTCTGCCCAGGAAATGGTTCGAATCCTAAATGAGCTCTTTGGACGCTTCGACCGACTAGCTGAGGTAAGAACCAAGAAACCTTTTACTCTTGGATCTCTTATAGTCATATAAAATCAGTATGAAAGAGCATTATATATTAAACTGTGTTGACCTATTGATGTCTTTCTTTTTTGTTGTTGCTTGAAAATAAAGTTATTTAATTGCAGATAACCAAAAATATTAACCTTTTTTTACTAATTAAACAACAAATATAGATAAAGACATGTCATCTAAAGGAAACTTAACTTACTATAGTTTGTGTCGCAACCTTTGGTTCAAATATCTTCATAAAATGGGGGTAAATAAAATGCTACTTTTAGAAGTCAACCAGTCTATGACATTCAAAGGAGAACATTGGCCCCACTAATTATTACACTTCTGAGATGCTTGAGGATTTATCTGCTTTTGCTGCAAAGCTCAAGCCAATAACTCAATGTGATATTATTCTAGTAGTCTCCATCTGTTTTACTCTCAGCATGTTCTTGGTGCTTTTAATTGTTTGAGACAATTGTCATGTTATGGAGCCTAGATCTGTGCAGATTAGATGATTTATAGCTGGTTTCACATTTCTTTAAGGTATGCCACACAGAAGACTTCATGGTGGATTGTGCAATGTTGAGCTAATTAGTTTTTATTGCATCAAAGCACCCCTTACAAAAAGTAGTTCAAGTATACTAAAAGTGCACTAATTTCATACTTAAAATCAGGCAGTGCACTTAGAGTTTACTTATTCTAAACTATATTTAATATACAATAGTATAGTCAAGTGTACTTGACTATACTATTGTTTACTTTATTGTTTACTAAAGTATACTTTGAGTATACTTTAGTAAACTTAAAAATGTCCGAACTTAGTTTGAATAAGTATTACTTTAGTAATACTTCAAGTACACAAAAAGTACATTGTTAGGCATACTTTCTAAACTTATACTTAAGTATTCTTAATAGAATTTACTTCAGGTATACTATTTTTTGCTAAGGGACTCCCAGAATCATGACACTTCCACCCCCATGCTTCACATTGGGATTGTTTGTTTTGTTTTCTTTCTCTCAGAATCCTATATAAGCTTCACAGTGTCTGTTCTAGTGTCCAAATAATTAGATCAGACAAACATTATTTGACAAACCTTAGTCTAACCCTCATGTTTTCCATTTCTGACAGTAAAGGCATGCAAATATTAATGTTTGCAAGAACCCAAAGGTCCCATAATGACATTTTAAGTTTTTTCAAGACATTTTTTAGCATCTTCTGGTCTACATTTTAGGTGAACCTGTTTAGACAGCCTCAGCTGCACATTATTCATTGTAATGAATGTCTTCCACCTATAAGGACTCTTAGGTTCCTACATTCTTCTTTGTGAAGGCTTAAGGGAACTCCTTTTTTCTCATCATGGTTTTCACACTCACTTCAACAGTCAATAGCATGCCAAAAGTGGGCCAATCTCATTCTAAATGCTGCGTAAGGATTTTGTCATTGTGTGCCGATAAGTGATATGTCTAAGGGGGGATTTAATTGCTATTTCAAGTGGAAATAAAAGTGAAGTTATCATTTCACTTTCTATCTCAATTAACCCTCACATTTGAAATTATTTCTTGCTAAAATTCTTTACTCTTTTTAAAATGAAGTCTGTGTATTTCAAAAAAACACAGTCTTTCCTAAGGTGTCCTATTTATCCCGTATGAGTGCTTGTAATCTAGGTTTTTAAGCAGTTTAAGTCATTTCTACAGGCAGTGTTCTCTTCTTCTATTTCTCAACACAGGAGCACCACTGCTTGCGAATAAGGATATTGGGAGACTGTTACTACTGTGTTTCCGGGGTGCCTGAGCCACAGCTTGCTCACGCACGTTACTGCGTAGAAATGGGCCTGGCTATGATCAGCACAATAAGGTCAGTATTCATGTACATTATATAAAATGATCCGTACTCAAAGAAATACACTTTTTTTATATGCCATGTTCAGGAAAACAGAAAGTAATAGATTGCAAATTTTAGAAAAAAAGACTCTAGCCAACCTAGGAGATTGTGAATGACAAAAACATGCCATATTTCATCTGCTTCACATATGTCTTTGTCAAAAGATGAGCTGATGCTGAAAAATGAAAACTGAATAAATGATCTCAAATAAAATTTTAGATCCTCATAAATATATAAGTTTGAGATGATGCTACTGTTTTCAAAACACATTTTCCTGTAAAAACATTTTTGGCACATATTTATGCGGGATTACTGTTAGATGGGGGGGCTGGATGTTAAAACGAAATACTTCTTAATTAAATGATGTTCTGCATCAGTAAAGTTTCATTAACATGTTCTATTTCTTCAATAATGCCAGACACATCCGGAAGCAGCTGAACTTTGACTTGGACATGAGGATCGGTATCCACTCTGGCTCGGTCCTCTGCGGCGTGCTGGGTCTGCAGAAATGGCAGTTTGATGTCTGGTCCTGGGATGTGAGCATCGCCAACATGCTGGAAGCAGGAGGAATACCTGGGTGGGTGTATTCAACATAAGTACAAGGAGGCACCTTGTACCAAGTTGTGTAGCTCATGTCCCGTTTTCTTCCCTGTTCAGACATATCCACATCTCCAAGGCCACTCTAGATTGCTTGGGGACGACATACAAGACAGAGGAGGGTCATGGGCGTGACAGGAATGAGTTCCTTCGGAAACACAACATTGACACCTTTCTCATCTGCCCTCCAGAGGAATGGTATCAGGAAGACCATCCTGAGCCCATAAAAGTCCAGAGAAGCATTCGGACCTGGAACCCAGAGATTCCCTTTGGCCATGCAATAGACATGAACAGTGTAAGAGAAGTGAAACAGGGTTGAAATTAAAAGTGTTAAATATGGAAGTTAGGTCCCCCTGAAGGCAGCTGCGCCTCAGAACTTCCCTTCCCGTTCTTTTCCTGGGAGCAAGTTATTTACTACTCTTAACTCAAACTGGGTAAAACCATATAAGAAAGGACTATAAAACAGGAGTAAACATGTAACAGTGTTTATTCCAGGTCAGGTCGTTACAGGACAGAGAAATTGGGCTCAAAAGGCAAAGATTGAGCAAAGATTGAGCCCTAAACAAAGTCATCTCCTCCTTCTTATACCCCATGAGTCCATGTTTTGGATCAGGTGGATGCTTAGCTGTCCGTATCAGAAACTGACACGCCATCCATGCCTTAACCTTTATGCATCTTGCCTCTTCACCCCAGGATTAAACATAGCTCTCCTTTATCAGTCCAACTCCAAGATGTGCCCATATCCTGTGTATTTTTAAAAACACGAAGGCTGTCCTGATTAGATGGCCTCCGTACACACAGTGACATCCACAATGTGAAGGAAGGCCTTCTACTCTCTCTAATCTGGCTAACAAAGTAACAATGCACATGATGTATGAAGAATAAACCTAACAAAAGTTATGTTGCTAGATGTTTAATTTTAAAGTTTCTGGAGGAGGAAAACATTTTCTTTTACACCTGCCCGTTTCATGTTGTTCCCTTACAGATTCTGGCCTCCTTCACTAACGGCTCTCTGCCCGGTTTATGGCAGTCCAACACCAGAGAGATTAACAAACGCATCAAACATGCCATCGAGGTTCGAAGCAGTGAGCGCATGCACAACGAGCACATCACTGCTCTCACCCTGGTGTTTAAAGAGGCACACATAGAGGACAAGGTACGCAGGTTCATCTGCAGGAGATAACCAGTCTATGGAAGTGTTATACCACTGGTCTCTATTTATTCAATGGATTACTGATAAACCGAAAACTTACTTGCCGCCATATTGGTACCCCCCACTTTCACAGAATCGCGCCATAAAAATGCCTGTAATGTAATTCATTTACCATAACAATGTAATCAATACATGTATACTACATATACATAAATTTAGCACTTTTGGCACATCATCAGATAGTGTGTGTGCGTCTGTGTGTGTAATATTCTTAATATCTGACTACAGTATTATTATGCTCCATCAATACACTTATTTTGTTGTAATGGATTTGTATAATCTGTCATATTACATGATTTATAGACTTCATTGACTTCATACTGAGCATGCAATGTGATTTGCATATTGTTTACCATAAATCACAGTATATAATCTACTGATGCTATGAAACAGCAAGTGTGTGTCATAGTGATTATTGTATCTTTGTTTCAAAAGTTTTAAGCCCCCTTGAAAGTGAGAACATAATCATTGTTCGATGCCGTAGCACACGTATTGTTAACATTCTGACCGGACAGTGTTGGCCTAGTGGATTAGAGCTGTGCATTTGTGCTCTCAGAAGGTTCAAAGTACCCGGTTCGATCCCCACATCCTCCACTCTGGGTCGCTGAGCAAGAGCCTTAACCCCACACTGCTTCACTCTGCCAAACAGTGGCAGCCCAAGGGGTTTGGTTAAAACGCAGAGAAAAATTTCCCCATTGTAAGACAATAAAGGGATTTACATACACTAACTAAGGAGCACCAATATGGCAGCTGGTGACTTCACAGCACTGTGTACTACCAATAGGCTATCAGCAATCCAGTGAATAAATAGAGATCAGTGTGTTGGAAGCTGTTCACTATACAATGGCAGATTTTCTCACATAGATGAAATGAACCGAGCGAAATGTCTTTGCTTGTTTTAGTTCTCTCAGATCAGAGATGAGATGTTTAACTCCAACATGGTCTGCTCCTTCATCGTGCTCCTCTTCCTCATGGCTGCTCAGGCCATCATCCCTATTCCCAGGTCGGAAGATGTCTGGTTGTTTTGTGATGCAAAAATATTAACAAACTTAAATCAAAGAATAATAAAGATGCATTACTTCCAGATAATTAACAGACAAACAAACATTGTAGAAAAGTAAACCTGAATAAGTTCAGATACTCAAAACGTTTCTGGAAACCAATTACCTCAAAGCTTTTGAGTAAGTTAGAATATTTAAGTTTGAAGTACTAACATGTTTTACACCATGATGTAAATGCTGTAAAAAATAAATATTATAACGTATTTACTCAAAAACTTTTAGGTAATCGTTTTCCCAAAAACTTTTGAGTATTCTGAATCATTTAATAAGGCAACAAAAAGGACTAGAACTAAGTATATTAGAAGTCATCCCAACAAGGTTAAAACTTTTACCTTCAGATTAAAGAACAAAACATCTATAAAATGTAAACCCTCATTATTTTCTCTAAACTAATAGCCCAAGTTTCCTTTGCTATATGTTTCAGTTCTTGTTTTTTCTTATCCCTGCAGACTGTTCCCAGCCGTCCTCCAGTTTTCCCTCTTCCTTCTTGCCTACATGCTGCTGCTGCTGGTCGCCCTCGCTGAGGAGTTCAGGTGGACCCCTGCAGCCCTCCAGCAGTTCGGCTGCTGGATCCACGAGAACCACAGCGCCCGGAACCTCCTCACTCTCACGGCCATCATCATCAACTTCAGCCTGGCTTCCACGGACATGGTGAGGGCTGGAACATCACAGGGGCCGGAGAAAATTAAAGCACTATTTTCAGATCAGCTGATTCTCACCTGCTTTTATTGATCATTGGCAGAATGTTTTTATTGAGGAAAAAGTGGATTTTTTATGACTGGAAATAGTAAACTACATGTATTTTATACATTATCTGTAAGTTCTCCTTATTGCCAGGATTATAAAACAGTTGCCTTTAAAGTTTAATCAAAAAATTTAATTGATCAAACCAAACTGTAATATTGCTGCCACCATGTGGCCAAAGATCAGAGTCAGTTTATAAAATAACTAAATACTAATAGCTCATGAATAATGATCAGTTATTTATGTTATGTGTTGTGCCTAGGTGTGGTGTGTCCTTGCAGCCACAGGAGAAGCCGACATAGTGGAGAAGAAGAGCACCGGCTCACGTTCAGTCACCATCTGTATTTATCCTGAGGTAGAGAAACACTTTTTATCGTCACCTTCTTTTAAATGTTGATCATTTCTTTTATCTTTAAAATGTTATTTAAAAGTTTCATGTTCAAAACCATGTTGCAACTCATTAATAAATAAACTGAAGTCTTATTCTCATTTACATTCGTGATGTTTGGGCACTTTATGATTGTTATTGTTTATCTCCTAGACAAGCTGTAGGTCTATAAATGATTGCATTTTTTTTACATGTAGTCTTGTCCTGCAGTAGCTTTGAGATTTATTTTCTGTTTTTGTCTTTTGGATTGGAGAAATGTCACATTCTGACAGAAAATGGTGAATAAGTTCCTAAACGCTCTCTAGAACTTAAAAAGGGTAAAAACATGTGTTGGTATGCATTTTCAAAAACAGATTCAGATCATTTTATTTTGGAGATATTGTTAGCAGTGCCACCAGGGGCGGAGCAAGATGGGGGGCCAGAGGTGGCTATGGCCTTAGAAAATCATTGGCCACCCCTACCATTTTTTTCCACATTTAATACAGACGGTGGCAGCAGTAATACCCTCAAAAGGAATGTTTTAATGTTTTAATTTTCGATATGTAAACAATTACCTGACATCTAAAACAATGTGGTTAATTATGCATATCAATATACTAACATTAAAGATGATAAATATAGAATTCATGCTCTTTTCAGAGCTAGATTTTGTCTTATATTGGGTAAAGAGAAAATTATGTCTCCAAGTCATCTAGGAATCTTCACAGCAATCAAAGACAAATAACAATTTTAATAAAAGGTATCCATTTAATGTAGATTGTAGAACATGTAAATATTAATTTATACAGAATTATTATTGATCAAAGTAGGTAAGTAATGACAATGAATAAGATGAATTTAAGAATTTTGTCCACTACACCTTTAATTTAGACAGCATGGATGTTTAAATATATGTGTCTATTTGTTAGCAAAGGCTGTAGGAAAGTGTAGTTTATCTTTATTGAGAAAATATGGATGTTGTGATTGTTCATTTTCCTTTTGGAACAGTGTAGATTGACCCTGAGGTTCTGGCACCTATCCGCTTTCGGCCACCCCTCAGTGTACATTGGTTATTGCCTGGCCACCCGTATAAAGATTTTATGGCACTAATTGTGGTTCCAATGATTTGGGTCAAAAAAGATATATATATATTTGAATGTTTTTTTACATACTGTAGGATTTGTTGTCCAGGACTGATTTAGATGTTTCAGTTTGACGATATGCCGAATTGGTTTTTAATAAGAGTGAAGGTTGCTGCACACCACTGTGAATGAAAAACAGTTTTTGCCTGTTTAGATCTTTGTGCTGAGCGGTGTGGTGGTGATGGTAACATGCGCCGTGTTTCTGCGCCTGAACTCCCTCTTAAAGTTGGCCGTGCTGCTGCTGGTAGTGATGGTGTACTCTTACTTCATCCACCTCGCCTTTGTCACACTAGCACGCAGTGACGTGCAGCACAGGTCTGTTGCTTATGGTTTTCATCATGACCATTGTTTTCATTTGAATGCATCCCATTTATTCTTCTGTTTTTCTTCAGATCCCACTATCTCAGGAGAAAAGGAATTTCCATTCTTCTCATAGCGATGTTTATTGTAGCTGTTTTCTACAGTGGGCGACAGGTATTCTTTAGACTGATCTTTTGTAACTAGCATTCCTGGTTGTGTGCTGCTGTTGCATCTTTTTGCCTTCCAGTGGGAGGCTACCGCCAGACTGGACTTCTTGTGGCGCTTGCAGGCCCAGCAGGAGGTGGAGGACATGAGGGAGCTGCGAGAACACAACGAGTGTTTGTTGCACAATATCTTGCCCTTGCATGTCGTGCAGCATTTTCTGGAGCGCAGCAGACACGATGAGGTAATGGTGACGTCTCTTTATTCTGCGACTAAGCAATCTAGGTTAGTTCTTAATGATACATTAAGATGCACAGGTCCATATCTGGTTCTCTGTTAACATACAGGTTCTGATTTTGACCTATCAAAGTCATTTTGGGTCCAACAAAAATAACAATGAGATCATCTTCATTATATTAATAAACAGAATCAGACGAAGAATTGGAATCAGTTTTATTATAGTATCATCCATATACAGTAATATTTTCCCAGACCTGAAACACCTCACACCAAGCATGCTTGGAGCGACAGTGGAGAGGAAAAATTCCTTTTTAACAAGATGGGGTATTTGGTGCTGGTCTGTAATGTCTCTGAATAGGGTGTATAACATTGGTTAAGCTAAAAATGGCATATTTGCCATTTCCCCCAATGCAAGCCTAGTTATAAGCCCTAGAATTAAATGACAGGTTTTCAATTCAATGCAATTCAGTTTATTTATTTAGCGCCAATTCACAACACAAGTCATCTCAAGGCACTTTACAGTTCAACCAGATCATACAGTCAAATTGATTCAAAGTTTTCTATCTAAGGAAAACAAGTTGATTGCATTGACTTATTGACTCAAATGCAATCCCTCACAATAAGCATGCTTGTAGCGACAGTGAGAGGAAAAACTCCCTTTTAACAGGAAGAAACCTCCAGCAGAACCGGGCTCAAAGTGAGTGGCCAACTGCCGAGGCCGAGTAGGGTTAGAGGAGACAGAAGCAGACATCGAAAAAGAAGCAGAGATAAAAAAAGGCAGCTGTCAACCAGCTCCACAGGCAGCCCCATCCAGGAAACACAGCCAAGCACATGAGCTCAGAGCCATCTCAGATGTCAGAGGATGAAGGGAGCACATCCAACCAGACACAGTTGGAGAAATAGGACTACACTGAAAAACAGGCCAAGCTCGAACATCTATAAATATCAGCTGTGCTGATGGCAGCAGCACAGCTGATATTTCTCCCCAGGATTTATGTGAATTGAATTAAAGTCGTAGGGAAGTCATATTTAAATTTCAAATCATTCTGGCTTAAACATGCATATAAATGTAGTATTTATCAGACAATACTGTCCCAAAAGTTAGAAAATTTCTATTTTAAAAAAAATCCTGTCTGTGTGGAGGGTTTTTTCGTTATTTTATGCAGGCCAGTTAGTTATATGTCAACTTGTACACCTATATTCGACCAATCATATATCAACGGTCATCTGTCAATCAAATGTTTTCGGTCATTGCATCTTGATTCATATTTTGCAGCTAATATATGCAACAGTTGAAATAAGAATCATTTACTTTCCCATTGAGTTCTGTCCCAGTGTTCATGGGGATGGGCGTCTGTGTCTTCAGCAGGCGTAGAGCTAACAGAACTGGCAGCACTGCGAGGCAAGGGCTCAAACATGTACGGCTGTAAGCCTTCTACACCAAATAAAGCTTCTGCCGCCCTGGCGTCCTCTTCAGCAACAACTTCATCCCCGCTTTCCTCCTCTAAATAAAAAATGTATGACAGAGGAGACTCTTCCATGACCTCAGACATAAAACTCTCCTCTTCCTGCATGTTTCCGCTGTCCATAGTGTTCCTTGACAGTGTCGTTTCTAACTGCTACTTGGTCCCAATGTAATTTCCCATTGGGAACATACTAGCACTAAGTTGCTAACTGGTTAGCAAGATGCTTCCCGCGCCCTTGATAAACGACCTATCCCATTTACTTTATTCACTCGTGTAAAGTTGTGCACCACTCGGGAGAATTTGGAACTGTAACCATTGAAACTGCCGCTTCCTTACAACTTTAAAATGTACTTTATTTTCTACTTCTAAGTCACATAATTAGAGAGTCTATCCTCTTATAGGATTTGGTGAAATTTTACAGTTTCTAAAGCCAAAGGGAGGACTCCTATTCTTATTTGAGGAATGAAAGATTTTAGGTTCCTGGTAAATCAATTTCAGTTTTAGTTATCTTTCATTTGGATGGAGGTTGTCAGCATTGGTTTACGTATAATGACAATTGGCCATTTACTTTCAATAAGTGGAAAGTTTTAAATCTCCACTTGCTAGATTGTTTTGAAGAATATACGAAAGTTGAGTTTCATCACAGACAGCTCGGAGCACTGCAGCTCAATTTGAGTTTATTTACTTTAAATAAAAACATAGTGTCATGATTGGCTTCAGAGATCTAACCCACATGCAGATAACGACTCAGAGACAAAGGGAAAAAGTTCATTGGTTTATTGCAGGGGTTACAAGCTTAGAGAGAGAGATAGAGTAAACAGGTTTTCTCAGAGGGAGGTCCAGCGATCAGGTGAACCAGAACCAGAAACTCTAGGAGGGGGAGATCACAAGGATGAGTTCAAGAGCTGTAGGGAAAATGATCGCGGCTGATGAATGGTTCAGTAAAGACTCACATTCGAGGGGTTCTTGGAAGATCCTTGGGTCCAGTTTGTGGGGGTATTGTCCAGAGAAGATTGTACTTGTTGGAGGGCGGACAGGTGGACTAGTGAAGGGTCCAGAGGAGCAATGTGTGACTGTCACAGGATTTTCCAGAGGTGGGCTTGAATGGATCAGATGAAGGTTTCCCCTTGCTCAGAGAGACACAAATATTTCCTTCCAGGGGGGGAGAAGGACCAGGCTTGTCCAGCGGATCAGGAGGGTATCCTACCAGAGAACACAAAGGAGACAAAGGCAAACTTAGACTCAGAGAGACAAAGGAACAATGGTTAGACTCAGCTAATCTCAGCTAGAGTACCCAAAACTGGCAAACACTCTGGCGTCGAGGTGGTGACAGTCCGCTGCTCAAATACTCCTCTGGTGATGACCCAACGAGCCGCAGGTGTGGGAGGAAAACCGGAAATAACCCTCCAGGCCAAAACGGGGAAGGGGCACCATCTAGTGGTGGAAGGAGCAACTAAAAGAAAAACAAAAAATACAAACCCCACAAACAGGACCCTACCACATAGTCAGGAATATGAATCAATCCCTTCCACAATCAGACCCTTTTATCTTGTCTTTGAATTGGCTACACACTTTAGAGTAGGAGACACACCATTTTCTGATTTTTATGAAGCCAAACAAATAATTTAAAGTTCACTGAAGTTGTTTAAAGACCAACATTGTTTGGATTTATTGAACTGAATAAACACAATTCAAATTTCTCAGCATCTAATCAAAGCCCATTAATGGATGAATTCAGCGCATCTCTGTTAATTTGTCATGCAGGACCTTTACTCCCAGTCCTACGATGAAGTGGGTGTGATGTTTGCTTCTGTTGCTGGGTTTGATGAATACTTTGAGCAGAAGGAGATCAAACATGAAGGGGTGGACTGTCTCCGGCTACTGAACGAGATCCTAGCCGGCTTCGATGAGGTGAGCAAAACACAGACAGCTGCTGCATCATGTATAGATATAGAATTATTAGAAAAGAACCAATCAAAGTGTAGAATATTTAGGCAGTTGCTTTTTTTTTTATCTGTTTCATATAAAAAGCTTTTGGAGGAATCCTATTTCCATTATTTGGAGAAGATCAAGACGATTGGAAGCTGTTATATGGCGGCGTCTGGTTTGGCTCCAAATGAACAGGTGAGATGGTTTTACATAAAGGACAATCAGTAAACCAAATTCAGGATTATAGAAAAATGTTCTACTTATTTCAGTGGAATGTGAGGTTTTTGTCTTTTTTAAGCTGAAAGTTGTGCATTTTAGAGGCTTGACAGATCATAGCTGTAACTTAAAGGCCTTTCAATAATGCAAAAAATTCGTATACGCTTCAAAACTCAGCTGGTTAGGTGTTTGAAAACTCTTCTTGTCAAAGTTGTTAATTCTAGTTTAAAAATTGTCATTGCTTTGCTACTGACCTTACTTTTAGACACAGTTCCTACATTTTATAATAGGAATGAGGTTTGGCTTGTTAATAAGCTTGATTTTAGCCTAATTTATTTATCCCAAAAACAGTTCTGAGGAATGTTTTGAGTCACTTTCCTGCTGAACAAATCCAATACGTGTTAAAATGTTGTCTTGACACTTTGTTATTCCTGCAGCATGATAGTACCAACACCATGCTTCGCAGGTTTAAAAGCCTCAGTCAAAAATTATTCCTGTCATTTTGTCCAAAAAGCTTCATCTTTGACTCCTCTGAGCATAAAAAATAACCTTTGAAGGTATTTGATTTGAACAAGCAGGCAGACACCCCTCTAGTCTAAATTAAAGATGTTGGTTTAGGTGCGTTTTTTTCCTGATGGGGACCCTTTCAGTTTTTTCTTAGATTATTGAAGCTTTGTTATGGTTTTAGTCCACCAAAATAAAATAATTATTTCAGTAAATAATATTTTAAACAGTGATGTCCAAGAGGAGTGTACATAAACTTTTGTTTTCTTTACAAACTTTTCATTTTTTATTATTATTATCACATTTAAACTTGCTTCTGTGTCTGGAACACACTGCAAAAGCAAGCTAGAAATAAGTAAAAAAAAAAGAATTAAATTAAGTATATTTACCTTCAATTTGAGAAGGTTAATGAGATGATTTGCCAATGGAATCATTTTTTTTTTACCTATGAAGTAAGCTAATTAGATAATATGCTACTAAAATAAGACCATGCTATTGTTTTTTTTTCCTTTAAATGTTAATTTTCTTTTTCCGTTGGCAAAGTGTCTCACTTACCTCCTCAATTCAAGAACAAATGCACTTATTTTAAGAAAAAACTGACTTATTTAGGATTTGACTTTTGCAGTGCATAACTTTGTTTTGCTGTTTGTATTTTTTCTAGGGATCAGTGGATGAGTGGAACCACCTGAGTGAGCTGGTTTTGTTTGCTTTGGCGATGCAGGAGGTCTTAGGAGAGATAAACAACCACTCTGCCCAAAACTTTGAGCTGCGCGTCGGTAAGTGACTGAGCTGCTAGACATTTCACATTTACCTAAACCTCTGGGGAAAAACTAATAAAGAGCTAATCTTTCACTTGTGTGGCACATTCTAAGACTTAAAATGGGAAAAAAATATGAAAAGTTTGTCGAGGGAAACATCCAGTGTTATCAAATAATTGCTTCCATTCTCTCCTCTGAACACATTCCCTACCTTATGCTTTCTTTTCATCAGCTCACAACTTTTCAATAGATTTCATGTATTAAACCCTCTCTATGTAGAGAGAGGGTTTAATACATTTTTTTTGTCTTACTCATTTAACTCAATGTTTTGGCCTCAGTGTCCTGATGAAAGACAAATAATACCCATGTGTCTTGTCTATTGAAACTGTTCAGTTGAATTTGTCAAGAAACGAGGACAGGTGGACCCAGTATTTAAGGAGACAGTCAGTGGACAAGCTCAAAACGTTAATTTAAAGAAAAACAAAACTATAAGGGGAGCTGCTAGGATCTGTGGCATGCGGCGACTGCAGGAGGGGGAATCCAGGCCTCCAGGCCTCGTAGAGCTCCAAGGCAGGTTCAGAGTCCAGCATAGTCCAAAGCGTGACCAGGTGGTCATGCACAGGAGCAGGCAGGATCAGGGGCAGACAGGGAGGCTCAGTGCAAGAGAGTAGCCGAGACAAGACGTGGAACCAGAGCTTGATGCAGGACTTTTAAACTGGTCTCCACCTTGGAGCCAGGCTTACTTGGATAAAAACTGAACCTCCCTGAGTACAGAGCCAAAAACCCGGAGGGCTCAGCAGGGGAGGAAGAGTGGACGATTAGGAGACAAGACAGACACAAAAACCTCTTTCCACTGGCCGCCAGGATCCAGGACAAGAAGCTTGGAATCAACATAACAGACAGGCTAACAGAAAGACAAATAATGATCTGGCCCCAAATGCTCAGGCTGAACAGAATATAAACCAAAGGAAACAGGTGAGAGGAATAAATGATAATTGAGGCAGGGATGGAAAATGACAGGTGAAAGAAATAACCAATTAAGGGAGAGCAAACAGGCCAGATCATGACAGAATTTGCAATCTAACAAGGTTTCAAAGGTCTGTATAAGAGAAACTGGCCATCATACCAAGCAATAGGTGTCAGGTCTGTTTCTGCACACACTAACTTTGATTACTTCTTTGCTTCTTCCATCTTTTGCTAAATATGATGTTTGGAGATTTTATTATCTCGTTTACCTCCCTGTTCTTTACTCTACTCTACTTAATAACAAAACAAGCTTGTATTTGTTACAGTTGCAGTTATTCTAAACTCCTTTAATTATTGCTCCGACTGTATATGTGGGCTGATTGAAGTAACTATTTTCTAGCAGCTATTCCTTGAAGTGCAGTGGGTAGCACTGCTGCCTTGCAGCCAGAAGGTTCTGGGTTCAATTCCCGGCCTGGGGTCTTTCCGCATGGAGTTTACATGTTCTCCCTGAACGTGGATGAGTTCTCTCCGGGTACTCTGGCTTCCTCCCACAGTTCAAAAACATGACTGTTAGGTTTATTGACTTGTCTAAATTCTCCTTTGGTGTGAGTGTGTGCGTGAATGGTTCTTTGTCATATTTGTCTCTGTGCTGCCCTGCAATGCACTGGCGACCTGTCCAGGGTGTACCCCGCCTCTCGCTCTAGACAGCTAGAAATATGCACCAGCACCAAGCGTGTCAGATAATGGATGGATGGATGGATATTCGTTGAAGTCAGCATGAACCTAAATGCATGTTCTCCTGTCTTTCCTGTTTGAAGAGGGGCTAAAAGAAACTGGCTTCTCTTTTGTGTCCAATAGAAAAGCAAGAAAACAAGAAGAGATGGATCATTAACTCTATTTTCACGGACAATATTATCCACTTTAAAAATAGAATCATGAATTTAAAAAAACACCACAATTACATTTATTTAACAGGGATGTTAAGTATGATGTGTGCTAAATAAATCAATAAATTGAAAGCTGTCATTTTTTACATATTTCAGTTTAAAAATATTAATAAAATGTGTTTAATTGAGATATCAATGTTTTTGTGACATCTTTTGACACAAACCTCCACCAAAATATTCCATTAGTCTGTAACTCTTCCAGGAATTGCCCATGGGCCGGTGATCGCAGGAGTGATCGGAGCCACCAAACCCCAGTATGATATCTGGGGATCAACGGTGAACCTGGCCAGTCGGATGGACAGTACTGGCGTGAGCGGACGCATCCAGGTTCCTGAAGCCACCTGCAGGATCCTGTCAGAGTGGGGATTCGTTCTGGAACTTCGAGGAGAAATATTCATAAAGGGGGTTAGTTGATAGATTGTAAATTGGAACTTTTAAGCAATGCTTAGGGTTGATTACATTTATATACAGTATAATGATATAGAACATTTGTCCAGACTTTACAAAATGTTAGCACATTTGAAACTATTTTAAATACTTTGGCACTTTGCAAACTAAAAATAAATTGTATTTTATTAGGGTTTTGTATGATGCCACATAAATATATTAAATAATGCAGCACATAACAGTGATGCAAAAGTGAAAATGTTTGGTTTTAATTTTTTCATTGCAATTTTGAAATAAAACGTGCAAAACCACAACAGAATCATCTGTTGCTTAAGTCGGAGCTGCAGCGTTTTAAAGTTTTCTCATAAAACCTTTGCACCTATAGAGATTGACAATATTGCCTGTTTCTTATCAGGAATGGGTTATACTATGTTGGATTATGCATGCATTGTATGTGAACATTTGTTTAGTTATTTCAAAAAAGTAAAAAAAAACTCCACTGGACTTTGTTTCCAAGTTTGAATATGTTTTGCTTCCCATCCAGGAAGCTTTTTCAATTCAAAATGGACCGAGAATGACTGAGAGTCTTCACCAGCATCAGTTTAGTTTTCTCACAAGTCAATTAGATTAAGGTCTAAACTTGAATTGGGCCTTTATAACAGCTTTGATATAAATTGCTTTGTGGTCCAACAAAAAGATTGAACTCTGCTGTAGTTCAAAATCTTTTGCAGCTCTTGATAAGTTTCCTGTCAGGATTTCGCATGGATTTAGTTCCATTTATTTTTCTTTAATAAAAGCTGAGCAGCTTCCTTCTCCCTGCTGTGAAAAACCTCCCCGTGGCATGATTCTGCCATCACTATGATTTCCAAGGGAATGATCTGTTCATTATTTCACAACTTAACATTTTACCTGTCAGCTAAAAAAGTTTAAATTAAATCTCACCTGACCAGAGCGCCTTCACCCACATGTTTGCTTTAAGAACAACTTTATTTGTGCTCCTCTACTGTACAGCTTTAATTTTTGGAGTAAAAATGTGATTATTACACTTTAATGATGTTGGTCTAGAATATCAAATCATAATAGAATACACAGAAATATGGAAAAGATCTTTTGTATTTCCTCATTTTATTTATTCTCTTTATTCCTTAGGTGAGTGAGTGTCAGGGGAAGGTGCGTACATACTTCATCAGCACCATGCGAAATAAAAGGACCAGTGTTGGAGCAGAGAATTACCTAGAGGGCCGAGCGGGAAGTCGCATGACTCTTGCAGAAGTGGTGCACGGTCTTGTTCAGGCCAGGCAAAAAGAGAAGTTGAGAGAGGCAAATGGGAACTTTGATCGGACTCCTTGAAAACTGCAGAGTGGAGTGCTGCATGAAGCAAACAAAAAGGCCTCCACACAGAGCTTTCTATCAAGTTTACAGGAAAGAGCCAAAACTTGCCAAAAACCCTTATTCTGGTTTCCTCCTGTTCTCCTGACTGGGGAAAAAATCGTGATTTCTCAAACTTTGTAGCAGAGTGGTGTATCTGAACATTGCTTAGAGATTTATACTTTACTTGATGCCATTTTGTATTGTTCTTATTTGAACTATGTTCCCGCAAGATGACAGACTTCTGAACCAAAACACAGAATACCTCTATAAAGCCAGCTCAAATGGCCTATTAAGCTATGAAAGTTGTTTTTACACATGGTCTTCCACCTCTGTATTTAAATTCCGATTATTCATCCATTACCTGCTGCTTGGGTTCTTATTTCTTTGCCTTTGTATGTATCAAAATATCTCATGTGGTCCATTGTCTTTTTCAAATAAAAATAAAAATCATTTTATTTGATTAAATAACCATCTTTTTTTATCAGACTTGCTACATAATGCAATGTGTTTTCCATTGTTGCTTTTTTTTATTATTGTGTAGTGATTTTAAGTAAATACTCATTTGTATGTTTTTTTGCAACAACAAAAAAAAGAAACTGTTATTTTACAGATGTGCACTGCGCTTTTTTAAGGATTTCAGCTAATTAAAATGCCAATGGCAAATTGGCTTTAATTTTTATGGAAGAGGATTAGGGCCACTGGGGAAATAAAAAAAGTAAACTGATTTTTACATTTTATTTCACTTTAATATGGGGAAAAAAAGTCAGAATTCTGACTTTAATCTCAGAATTCTGACTTTAATGTCAGAATTCTGACTTTAATCTCAGAATTCTGACTTTTTCTCAGAATTTTGACTTGGTTCTCATATTAAATCGAATAAAATAAAAATCAGTTAAGTTTTTTTTTTTTTTTTTCCAGTGGCCCAAAACCTCTTCTGTAAATTTTACATGCAGTAAATTAGCAATTTGCTCTGAGTTAATAGTTTGGTATTATTTCTGAAATTCCCTCATTAAAATTCAAGTAATTGTCTATGCAAAGCCAATCTTCTTAGTTTCAAAAGACACATTTTGTGATTTATATGTGTAAAGAAAAAAACTTATGAATAAGCCAATGAAAGCCCTATAAAACTTCATTTATTGTTTGATGGAACCTGTAGCTGATAAATACAAAAACGGGCTAGAAGTAGTATGAAGTTATTTCTTTTCAATTTAAAGGGAAATTCTCGTTAAATACATCGAAATACACACAATGAAGATATCAATATAATTTAACAATTCGTTGATAAAATTGCTAGATCGATTTTTCTTTACTCTACTAGTTACGACTTCAGCTAACGCGGGTAATCTGTGAGGCATCTTCTATTCGAAAAGATGCCTCACTCGCTGGTTTAGAAGAATTCCACATAAAACCAGCAAAGTAAGAAACTAAACACAACAAAGGGATTAGCATTTGAAGAATGAAAGCATTTGATGATATTCAAAATAAAATTTATTTTATTCATTCCTCTTTAACATCATAAACATAAATAAAATCCTGTGCAAGCGGCTACCTTTAATAGTCACCTAATAAATTACTAAAATACACCAATTTGTGCTATAACATAAGTTTGACTTCTGGGGCCTGTTTCAATAAGGAAGTTCAACCAACTCTGAGTTAAAACTTGAACTCTGAGTTGACTTATCCTGAGATTGGAAACTCTGAATTTTGGGTTTCAGAACAGCTGAAATGAGTTAGTTCAATCAACTCTAAATTGACTGACTCTGAGTTAAGAGTGTGCACCACAACTATAAAAAGCCATTATCAATGGAGCACAGATATTACGAGTCACCATGGCAACAGCGTCAGACAAAAAAAGGTGTGCATATTTCTCACCAGCAGAACTGGATGTGCTTATGCAAGCATATGCAGAATTTGAACATGTATTTAAAAAAAAAAAGCAACACGGCTGCAGCGGCGAAGGAGAGAGAGTTAGCTTGGGTGAAAATAGCTGCTCGAGTCAATGTGTAAGTTTACATTTTAATTACTTTTATATAGTGTTGGGTGTAATGAATTAAGTTACTTAAGTCATATAAATACTGTAATAAATTAAAGACTATAAAACAATAGTGGATTTAATATCAAATTTTAAAAGGTATATTTTGATTTGAACTTTCTCCCTCTAGTTACACACTTTGGTCAATTTAAGATTAATTCATGCAATTGAATATTGTTTATTTGAAAGCATTAGAAGTGCAGTTTCTTGTCTCTCCTTGTATTGTTCAAGTGGTTGAGGTTGATTTGGGATTTAGAAAGTAATTAATAAGTAAGTAAAACAAATTAGTAAGTAGACCAATACTTTCTAGAGACAGTAATTATTACATTAATCTAATTAGACTTGTTGAAGATAAAATTTGTAGTTAGTAATTAAGAACTATTTTAGAGTAACTTACCCAACAGTTATAATATCAGAGGTGAAACTGGAAGAACAGTATTTTATTAAACCTAATTTAGTTTTCATGGATAGGTGCAATCCTGCAGGCATCAAAAGAACATGGCAGCAGCTGAAAATGAAATATAAAAACATACTTCAAGCAGGTAAGCCTTGAGCACATCATGGGAGTAGAGTAGCTACCTGGCTTTACAAACAGGATCATCCATAAAAGGACATGCCATTTCATTCCCTTTTATGCGCTCTACGTGACTGAAATGTGTGCAATGAATACTGTATGTCCCCAAAGAATCAGTGAGGTGTTTAAACACCACTTCCTCTTTAAAAAAGGGGAGGAGACCAAAATAAACTCTGGATTTTCTGAAGAAAACCAGGGGCCTGTTTCAGAAAGGAGGTTATGTGAAAACTCTGAGTTTGTTAACCCTGAAATGAGGGAAACTCTGGGTTTTCTGTTTCAGAAAGGGAGGTAAGTTAAACCTGAGAAAGCAGAGTAAGTCAAGCCCGTTTCTGAAAGAGAGGTAACTTATACTCAGAGTCAGTTACCATGGCAATTTACTCTGTGAACCTAACCTGGTCGGGAGCAGGTTTTCTTCAGAAAATCCAGAGTTTATTTTTGTCTCCTCCCCTTTTTTAAAGAGGAAGTGGTGTTTAAACACCTCATTGATTCTTTGGGGACATATTCATGGCTGAGTAGAAGTCAAATGAGAATGAACATTTAGACCTATGTCAAAAATGCTGCTGCACTGCTAGACACTGAATGCCATTTAGTAATTTAATATGTCAAATGTTTGTAAAGCCAGGTAGCTACTCTACTCCCATGATGTGCTCAAGGCTTACCTGCTTGAAGTATGTTTTTATATTTCATTTTCAGCTGCTGCCATGTTCTTTTGATGCCTGCAGGATTGCACCTATCCATGAAAACTAAATTAGGTTTAATAAAATACTGTTCTTCCAGTTTCACCTCTGATATTATAACAGTTGGGTAAGTTACTCTAAAATAGTTCTTAATTACTAACTACAAATTTTATCTTCAACAAGTCTAATTAGATCAATGTATTAATTACTGTCTCTAGAAAGTATTGGTCTACTTACTAATTAGTTTGACTTACTTATTAATTACTTTCTAAATCCCAAATCACCTCAACCACTTTAAAAATACAAGGAAAGACAAGAAACTGCACTTCTAATGCTTTCAAATAAACAATATTCAATTGCATGAATTAATCTTAAATTGACCAAAGTGTGTAACTAGAGGGAGAAAGTTCAAATCAAAATATACCTTTTAAAATGTGATATTAAACCCACTATTGTTTTATAGTCTTTAATTTAATTACAGTATTTATATGACTTAAGTAACTTAATTCATTACACCCAACACTGTATAAAAGTAATTAAAATGTAAACTTACGCATTGACTCGAGCAGCTATTTTCACCCAAGCTAACTCTCTCTCCTTCGCCGCTGCAGCCGTGTTGCTTTTTTTTTTTCAAATTCTGCATATGCTTGCATAAGCACATCCAGTTCTGCTGGTGAGAAATATGCACACCTTTTTTTGTCTGACGCTGTTGCCATGGTGACTCATCATATCTGTGCTCCATTGATAATGGCTTTTTATAGTTGTGGTGCATGCGCTTAACTCAGAGTCAGTCAATTTAGAGTTGATTGAACTAATTCATTTCAGCTGTTCTGAAACCCAAAACTCAGAGTTTCCAATCTCAGGATAAGTCAACTAAGAGTTCATGTTTTAACTCAGAGTTGGTTGAACTTCCTTATTGAAACAGGCCCCTGCTCCCGACCAGGTTAGGTTCACAGAGTAAATTCCCATGGTAACTGACTCTGAGTATAAGTTACCTCTCTTTCAGAAACGGGCTTGACTTACTCTGCTTTCTCAGGTTTAACTTACCTCCCTTTCTGAAACAGAAAACCCAGAGTTTCCCTCATTTCAGCGTTAACAAACTCAGAATACTGAGTTTTATTTTTATTTTTACATTACAAGTTAAAAGAGCAAATTAAATGTTATTGGTGAGATTTAATCCTACACAGAGTCAAGCCAATAAAGTTTCAATGGGAAAATGTCTTAATTTTAACTGTCAGTCCATAGCATTAATACCTTAGCTTAAAATATGAATATATTATTAAATTATGATTATTATAAAGTTATAGACGAAATTTGATTTGATTAGTTTGGCAAAAGCAATGCTCCATAATGTTTGCCTGTTTTGTTGTACATCCTTCATCCCTTACATTTTCTGTATTTAACCATTTTCCTTTGGATACCATAATGGTGTTTAGTCCTATTGTCTCTGTGCCACTGTTCTTGGATAATTTCTCCTGACATATAGTTTATTTATTACATTCGAGGTTCTGTATTTTGTACGGAAGAGGATTAGGGCCACTGAAAAAAAAAGTGAACTGATTTTTTAATATTATTTCAGTTTAATATGGGGGAAAAGTCAGAATTCTGACTATTTTCTTAGACTTCTGACTTTAATCTCAGAATTCTCACTTTAATCTCAGAATTCTGACTTTAATCTCAGAATTTTGGATCTTAATGTAGATGGGCACCATGAAGGAAGAGATGCGGGAGCACTCAGCTTCACTGACAAAGATGTGAGTTGTTTGGGAGGGCCAGTAACACACTGGTGGAAAATGATGGAATAAGGCAACTTTTTATGTGCCTGAGGGGTCCCTGGTGATGCTGTTTTATTAATGGAAGAGCAGAAGGTGATTAAAACAAGGGAGCTAGTTTAGTCTCTAGACATGGCTACGGCTTGATGCTAACAGATTTGTTAGCTGTCAGAATGCTGAGATTAAAGTCAGAATTCTGAGGAAAAGTCAGAATTTTTTTGAGAAAAAAGTCAGAATTCTGAGATTAAAGTCAGAATTCTGAGAAAAAAGTCAGAATTTTTTGAGAAAAAAGTCAGAATTCTGAGATTAAAGTGAAAATTTTGAGAAAAAAATCAGAATTCTTAGATTAAAATCAGAATTCTTAGATTAAAATCAGAATTCTTAGATTAAAGTCAGAATTCTGAGATTAAAGTGAGAATTTTGGGAAAAAAGTCTGAATTCTGATATTAGAGTGGGAATTTTGAGAAAACAAAATCAGAACTCTGAGATTAGAGTGAGAATTCTGAGAAAAAACAATCAGAATTCTGAGATTAAAGTGGGAATTCTGAAATTAAAGTGAGAGGTCTGAGATTAAAGTGGGAATTCTGAAATTAAAGTGAGAAATCTGAGATTAAAGTGAGAATTCTGAGGGAAAAAAAATCAGAAATCTGAGATTAAATTCAGAATTCAGATTATTTTATTCCATATTAAACTGAAATACATTTTTAAAATCAGCTACCTTTTTTTCAGTGGCCCTGACCCTCTTCCGTAATTTTGTGAACTAACGTGACTAAAGCTGAAAAAAACTCCTACACGTTTTAGCAAAACTGCTCAGAGTGAGCGCTCTTCGCGCAGGTTCCCCTCTGTGGAGGCACGCGGGCTTCGCAGGCTGCCTGTTTGTGATTGTTGTGTCGCCGGTGTGACAGATCAACTGGGGAGGAGATCAACTGGTGACGGCAGCTGGAAAACCGCTGATTTTTGCAGATGTGTCTGTGGGCGGGGCTTTTCAGGACCCCTCGCCTCAAACAGGAAGTAAACAGCGTGTAGACTCTAAGAACTACAAATTATTTTGTTATCTGATCGATACGAAATACGTTGAGATCTTAAGAAGTCACCGTCACGAAGGTATTTAAATGCATTAAGAAAGCATATAGCATGTTTTTGGGTTTTCTCCAAACCCGCACACAGAGATTTGAGGAACTTGTCCTGCTGTTGTTTATCTGTTTGTTTCAGAGCCTCAGCGATGAGAGAAAGAACCGAGTAGAAAACCCACAGAAAGCTGTATGAGAAGTAAAAACAGCCAGTGCAATAAAAGGTCAATGGGAACAACTAACGGTGTATTTTTTAAATTTTTTTGTCGTCCTGTATGTCTTGTAAATTAAAACGAGCGAAAATAAAAATTTCCTCTTTTTTTTCTTAAAAGCGCCGACTGTTTATATGGAGGGAAACTAATTACTTACAGCCCAACTCGTTCCCAGAGGAGTTATAAATGTCTTTAAAGTTTTAGGCATGTTGCAGGAACAAAGCAAAATAACATAACTGCTGCGGCGAAGAGTGAAATCTCTGAATTCAGTTTATATATTGTGTGAATATATGTGATATTTTGGGCATCGGGGCGAACAAATGCAGAACCTACTGTACTAAAGCATTTAAAGAAGCAGCACAGCCTCCAGGCTAACCGCTGCCAAACAATGAATAAATAAAACAGGGAGATTTTACGGTAGATGTCTGATCAAAAAAAAAAAGATCTGTTTATTTTTTCTTTTAATAGCATAGCATAAACTACTGTCTAACTATCTCTTAACGGGGAGGCCCCATTCTGTTCTAAGAGTAAAGAAGGAAAAAATAGTAATAATATCTGATATTCTGGAATTCAAACATGTTTTAAGCGATCAGCGGACTCTGAAACATTAACTGTCACCAGTTGATCTAAGACCAGCTCTTCAACAGGCAGAGCAGACACACGCAGCAGGTTCATCATCGCAGGTGGGGTAGGTATTGTTTACGTCTCAGTAGCTCAGTAGGTAAAGAGACGCCTTACGACTTAAAACAACGTTAGCTGCGGGTTCGAGCCCACGTGTACTCTTATGCCTTCCTTTTATTTTAACAGATTTTCCACAGATGGTCAAGATAATATTATCTCCTAACTCTGAAATGACAAACATTTCCTCGCAATCAGCGTTTTGTGCTGAGTTGCTTTTTGTCATTCTAATTGTACCAGTGAAGCAAACTATTTAGACTAATAGTAAAAAGTAGACAAAGCAATACTCTATTGCCAGTAACTTGAAAAACGTGAATGATTTAAAGTTGTTCTGCATGCAAACCAAATAATGTGGCGTCCTCAAAACAATAGAAGGGAATAAGATGACAGCTGACTGAGGGAACATGGTCACACATCATGACAGGTTCGTAATTGCTGTAAGAAAACTAATCAACAATAACAGTTAAAAATTTAAAGTAGCCTGCTACAACCCTAACTGAGGATAAGATAATAACATCCAAACAACATACCAGGAGATGGAGTGTTTTACAGCCCATATTCCTCCAGATCCCGCTGGATCACAAGTTAATCTGTGACACTCTGCAGATTCGGACGCTTTCAGATCCTCACGATGCATTTATTTGATCCCCAAACTTAAATTACTCATAATATTTCACATTATCCACAGACTACAGACGTGTGTTGGATAGATATTAGGCCAGGATAAATTATAACCTTTATTCTGACCCGTTTGTTTACATTTGCGGCATTTTGATCGGGCAACCACGCAGCCAACTAATCTCTCCAAACAGCTGTGCTGTGGACCCCGTCACAAATTAATCTAGTTCTTCGTTTAAGAATATCTGCATTTTTCTACAAGATAAAACATAAAGCAGTCATGGCGACTCCTACCCACACCATAGCGGTAGCTGCTAACTCTGGGATTTAAATTCCACTGTGAAAACAGAAAAAGTAAACTTTCCGCATCAACAGGTATGTGATTCAGATTCTATTAGCTGCAATGTGCCTAAGTAAATACATTTTACCCCCTTGGTGCATATGGGACAGTAAAACCAGCTCAGCAGCAGCCCGCTAGCGACTCATAACTGGATATTTTGAACAGACTGAAAATAAAGGTGTTTGACCTGATACAGTTCATCATACGGGACAAAGTTTTGGGATCCACAAAAAAACAACAACACCGTAGTAGAGACTTGTATTTGTGTCCAGACAGGAGAATAAAGGAAATATGAGAGCATGGAATCTAAGAAAATAACTTTTTGTCAATATTCCAAAAATAAAGTGGGAATAGTTGGAAGGATGAGAAGCCCAATTGTTCTGTTTGCAGTCAGTTTTTCTTTAAAATGTGCTGCTTACACGTGTGCCTTCTGAATGACAGGCCTCATTAATGGATTTATTTTTACATTCAGGAATTTATAAAGTGGGCGGACTTTATCGTCCAAGCTACAGGTTTCCATTTATAGCTTATCGTTCAACAGGAGAAATGACACTCCAGTGTGAGACAGACTTTTATTTGTATTTTTTCTTTACACTTGTGAACGACGCTGTTCTCTGTGTGGGATTCTTTGCACTATCTGCTTTGCTGAGGATACAAGTTCTTTACCACATCGTTCTAATCTGAAAAAACAAAACAAAACAGAAATTAATTCATTAGATATGTCGGTTGAATTTTTTGGGCGAACAGTTTTGTTACGTTAGGAATATTTTTTCGCCAGGCATCAACACAGCCACCTAAGCTTCAGTAACATCTGCTGTGCGCATAGATCCTAACCAGTTAATCTCGTCCCCAGTTGATCTGTCACACCGGTTGCAGAGAAAGTTGCTCTCACCGCTCCTTCGCTTTGTTTTACCTCATTATCACACAGCTATGGCGGACATCCAGGAGGAGAAGCTGTACACGGCGGAATACGCTAAAAGCGGCCGCGCTTCTTGCAAAAAATGCAAAGAAAGCATCGCTAAAGGCTCACTGAGGATAGCCATCATGGTGCAGGTGAGATGGCCACATCCGGGGGGATTTATCAAAGAAATGTTCCCTCTTTTGAAGCTTATTTCATCCCTGCTGACTTTTTAACTATTTTCCATCGTTTTACACACAATAAGCTCTTCTGCTTCTCTCTTAAAGCTTAAACGTGCTGATAAAAAGTGGTTTCAGTTGCTAAGTTAGGCCTTAGTTAGCATTTAAATGGCTTGCATGGCGTGCTAGGTTGTTGCTGACAAAGAGCCGCTCAGCTTTTCTTAATTCTTCTGTTATGGATGGTTCACTGGATCACTTAAGAACCTAATTCCAGTAAAATACCCACAGGCTAAACCAGTTGAGAGTATCCTCAGCATCTCCTCCTGCTGTGCAAACTTCTGCATCCTCCCAGCCTTTAGGAGAACAGATTGTTGGAGTCATGGACTCCATGGCCTGTGCAGCAGCTCCAGCTTTACAATCATTTGCTTCCCTTTATTGTCAATAAAAGCCATTTAGTCCAGATTCAATCAGAGGTCAGCAGTCTGAATAGGGTTAATGATTAAGCTCTGTTATCTGCAGTTTTTTTAAACTTTATTTTAGCAGTAATTCATGAATATTTTCTTCCTCTCCTCCACATCTGCTGACCCTGTAGGACCAATCGGATGTATAACCACATTCTGTTTGGAAAATAATACATTTAGGTCACACCGAGCCTGGTTCTGCTGGAGATTTGTTTTTGTTAAAAGGGAGTTTTTCCTCTCCACTGTCGCTATAAGCATGCTTAGTGTGAGGGATTGCCTTTGAGTCAATGAGTCAATGCAATCAACTGGTTTTCCTTGGATAGAAAACTTTGAATTAATTTTACTGCATGATCTGATGAACTGTAAAGTGCCTTGAGGTGACTCGTTGTGAATAAATAAATAAATAAACTGAATTGAATTGTTCATGTAATTCTATCTTTTATTTTTTATTTTATCAGACTGATTTATTGATATCAACTTTAGGGAAAATGACTAATAATTAATATATAAATAATAACATTTGGATGCAGTGTACAAAAGTATAATTGGGTAATATTTAGATTTTTTTTTTCCCATCACATGTCTCATTATTATTATTTTATTTTGGTAAAGTGAAACCCCCTGCCTCTTTTTTTTGAACAAAAAAGAGTTTGGTTCCATCTAAATATTTACTCTGCAAACACCTGATTGGCTCCTAACATAATGAATAAACCTGACTGAACATTGTCAATTATAAAGCACTATCATTATAGATCCAAGATATTTCACTGATGTTGATATTAGACCTATATTAGCATAGCTAAAGCAGTCAGTGAGTAAAATTAGGCCGTTATTAACAACAGCTTATAGTGCTGCAGCGCAGGGTTAAACTGACGCAGAGAAGAAATGTAAGTGAGGTGTTTGGGGTTTTTTGGAAAGGATAAAGAAATGATTCCGTTGCTGAAATTAGCAGTAAATAACAGTTATCTGCCCAAATCTTCAGTGTGAAGGATTTAAGTTTATCTGTAAGTAAAATAACTATTATATATTTGTTGTTTTTAGAAAATATGCAAGCAAAGAAATGGCAATGAAAATCCTTTTGACTCTTTTTTTAAATTTGAGAAATAACTGATTTATATGAAAGGATTATTTAAAATATTTACAGTATTCAATAAATCAAAAATTATTATGACTTAAAGTTTAGTGATAACTTTAAAGTTATCAATGTTCCATGTTTAACCATTGATAACTTTAAACCTGCCAGTTTGGATTACGCTGATGTGAACCCAATCCATGGTTCTGGATCTTTTGGTCTCGATGCTTTTATATTCATAAAATGTCCTTAATTTGTCACATCATCTATTAAACTTAAATTGAGCAGTTCTTTCAATTGAAAATGCTAAATATATATACATTATCATTTAGAGTTCTGGTTTTAAGGATTTTATAGATAAAAGCTCAATTTGATTGGATTTAATCTGTTTTGCAAAAATAACACCAGGAATCCTTCATGTTCAACAGTTTGGAAAACTCTTAATGATCAATTTCTAGAATTTATAGAGCTAGATGGGTTGTTTTAGAACCTTTAAGAAATATTTTTATAAGATCCTTTAAAACGTATAAAATAAATCTTCCAATAATAAGAAAATCAAACCCTTTGACTCCTTGTTGTTAGACCTTATACATTCCTGTGTAATTATGTCTCCTCGCTGCAAAGTTCACATAATTATTTTCCACCATCTCTGATGTTTGCGGTCGCTTACGTGTAAACATGCTGCTGACGCCGTTTGATGTTTGTCCTCCAGTCGCCCATGTTTGACGGGAAGGTCCCCCACTGGCACCACTTCTCCTGCTTCTGGCTGCGAGCGGCGGCAAAGTCACCAGCTGACATCGCCGGCTTTTCCGACCTGCGCTGGGAGGACCAGGAAAAGGTGAAGAAGGCCATCGAGAGCGGCGGAGCAGTCGGGATAGGTCAGTGCTCGGTTTGTGGAGATGCTGGAGTTTTAATCATTATAAGCAGAGGCTGTCTGGTTCATTTATTTAATGAAGACGGCATAGAATAAACTAAAGAAGAACAAGCAAATATCATCTGCTGTAGTGTTAATTTTAGCAGCCATTTTTAAATTTAGTTTTAGTCTTAGTCCAGTTTCAGCATCGCTTGTTAGTTTTTATCACATTTAGTCGACATCATCCCATTTTTATTTAGTCTAGTTTTAGTCGACTATAAATCGAGCATTTTAGTCTTTATTTTAGTCCAAGAAAACATAATTTTATTAGTTTAGTTTTAGTCAACAAAAACCGTCAACATTTTAGTCTAGTTTTAGTCAGGACATAATTTTAACCATTTACTTTTTTGTCAGCAGATAATATTTAACATTTCCTAAAATGATTTCACATTTCAACATTTTCTCTCATCTTTTTGATAAAAAACCCCCCACTAATTTAAGGAACAATTGCAGACATGGAAGATGTTCTGACAATATTTGCATATTTATTTTGAACATTGTTAAGGTTTAAAGACACAAACACAAATGCTTGCATTAAAACAAATAAAATACACCTGACAAAGGAAACAAATAAATAAAATAAAGTGTTTTATGAACTTAACACAACTGCTGGCTGTTTAAAGCTAGTTCACATAGAATAATAAAATAAATAGATAGAAATAAATAGATTTGAGATCAATGATGTGAAAAAAATAACTCCAACTGATACAACAAAAGTGCTTTCCTGCCAGCTAGTTCACATGGTTTATAAAGGTACAGTATTTATGTGAAACAAGGCATAGCTTGCTGGTCCTGAGAGTCAGCTTTGTATTTGGTGTGGGCAATTAAGGAAGCTTGTATAGCTGGCCTGTCATTGTTTCTGGATGGTTGTTGGTGGTCGATGTATCTTCAATCTGGAACAGAAATTAATACAATGTCAGGATAGATAAACAGCATAACAGGAATTCCAAGTGTATAAGTAGCATATAGGTCTCTTTTTTTCCTTAACAAAAACTAAGTCTCTATAAAAACTACATTTGACAATCCATTTCAAACTCATACAAACAACCTAACTATCATTTTATGCAGGAATAAATTGCAGACATTTTTATGTGTGCATGCATTTTGGTTGTATTAATATTGATTAATATTGATGTTTGCATCCAAATCCCCGCAGTGGTTCCCCAAGCAATGGCTATTTTGTGTATGAAAATCTAGGTTAAAGTTGTTCTGAATTATGTGTGGCATATTATTTTAATTTTCTTATCCTGATACACACTGTCAAAGACCGATAGTTTCAGTTGGTTTTAGCATTTAGCATACATGTGTAGCTGCCGAGGTGTTTTGTGTTAACTATAGTTCACTTGCTGCTCCTAGTTTACCTAAAGCATCTGTCTGCTTTTATCAAACTTGCAATGTAACTGAAACTATAGTTGCCCGGCCAGTATAACATATCTAAGTTCTATCAACAAGTGGCTACGGTCGCTACGTGCTAACAAGCTAACGTAACATAGCCAGCCTGGATACTAAATGCTATGAAAGTTAGCCAACATCAGTTAGTTTATCATTAGGACATTATAGCTGTTGATTAATGTTACATTATAAACAACCACCACCAATATTTCTGTTAACTTACCGTAATGTCTTTGTGTTGAACTGCGACGTGTCTCTTCAGGTTGTGTTTTTTCCAGCTACCATGTGGCCACATTCCTTCCCTTCCACTAAAATAAAGCATTTGGGTTTGTTCTCCACTTCAATGAAGTGAAAATGTGTCCATATATCACGTCTCCTCTTTCTCCCGAGCCCCAGAGTAGGCTACTCTGTGCCGCCCGCTCCAGGTTTGAAAGTGGGTGTGTGGAGCTGACAAGGAGGAGGCGGAGGAGGAGACGAGACAGGATTTGAAAAAAACATAAAATAATAATATGTAATTTTCGTCTCGTCTTTGTTCGTGAACTAAAATGTCCATAGATTTTAGTCCAGTCTTTATTTACCAAACTGCATTTTCGTCTCGTCTTTATTAGTCAACGAAAAATATTTCTGATTTACTGCCAGATATTGTTTATTAGTGGGGATTTTCGTCTCGTCTCGTCTAGTTTTCGTTGGGTGAAAAATGTGCGTTGACGAAAATATTTTCGTTTAGTTTTCGTTAACGAAATTAACACTAATCTGCTGACTCTTTTGTCCTGATAATTAGTTTTTCACATTTATGGTTTCTGCTGGACTGAGTTAACTGCTTTTTATGACACCCATCATTTCTGCAGCAAAAGGTGGTCAGAAGAGTGCCGCTGCAGGAGAGAAGACGCTGAATGATTTTGCGGTGGAATATGCCAAATCCAACCGCAGCACGTGCAAAGGCTGCGAGCAGAAAATAGAAAATCAGTTAACTTTTTTTTTCAGTGGCCCTGATCCTCTTCCGTAATTTTGTGAACTAACATGACTGAAGCTGGAAAAAAAAAAAACACACGTTTTAGCAAAACTGCTCAGAGTGAGAGCTCTTCGCGCAGGTTCCCCTCTGTGGAGGCACGCGGGCTTCGCAGGCTGCCTGTTTGTGATTGTTGTGTCGCCGGTTGCAGAGAAAGTTGCTCTGAGGCGAAGAAGAAGACCGTAACGTGTTGGCGCGTGTTTTGAAGCTGCTTGTGGAGAGATGTCCTGGGCCGTGAGTAGTGAGGAAACAGGAAGCGATTCTTGTGGGATGGAAGAGGGAAATAGTGACAATGAAGGTTGGAAGATAGCAACATCAAAAAATGAGAAAAAGCGGAAAAAACAGAGATCAGTTAAAGGGGAATCTAGTTCAGAACAATCCAGTGATGAGCAATCCATACATTCCACAGCACAACGAAATGAATTCAAAGTCATATTCAAAGTCGTTAATCAGGCAGACTCTTTTACAAATTGGAATCCGGTTCACTTAACAAAAACCATCAATAAACTTGTTGGAGAAGTCAGAGGTGCCAGAATTCTGTACAGTGGAGACCTGCTAATTAACTGCAGAGACAGCGCCCAGCAAGGCAAAGCAATACGAATCAACAAAATTGACGGGATAAGAGTTCAGTGCAGCTTAATGGAGAACAAAAAGATCAGCAGGGGAGTCATTGGAGGAGTTCCTCTAAATATTTCTGAAAAAGAGATTCTGGAAAACATAAGCGGTGCAAAAGTAAAAGAAGTAAAACGGTTAAAACAACAAGAAACGGAGAAAGATCTGACAGTTTATCAGTATTAATTAAATTTGAAGAAGAGCAATTACCAAGCAAAGTATTCATCGGTTACATAAGCTATAATGTTAAAATCTACAATCCTCCACCACTGAGATGTTTCAAATGCCAAAAATTCGGTCACATTGCAGCAGTTTGTAAAGGGAAACGGAGGTGTGGAAGGTGTGCAGGAGAACACGAATATGGTAAATGTGGAAAAGAAGCTAAAATAAAATGCTGTAATTGTGGTGGAGAACATACTGCTGCTTATCGCGGTTGTGAAGCAAGCAAAAGGTCTGAGGAAATAAAAAAAATGAAATTTGAGCTCGGAATAACCTATGCTGAAGCTGCAAAAAGGTTCCCATCTCAGTCAGAAAAACCCAAACCTACAGTTCAACACACGGCAAATTTCAGACCTCTAGAGAAATCTCCAAAAATTGATGAAGACTCACTAATTGTTAAAAAGACAAATTTTGTTCTTTTCATGGTGGAAGTGATTAATTGTACTGCACAGACAACAAAAAAAACTGAAAAAATCAAAATAATAGTGAAGGCTGCAGAAAAATATCTGGACATTAAAGATTTGAACTGGGAGATGGTTGGAAGCATGATGGGAGGACCGATGGGACCATCAGAAACTGGCAAAGTTACGATGACCTAGAGTTAAATTAAAATTATATGGGCAAATGTGATTTAGTATTATGTTGGTTTAAGTTACACAGGTTTTTTTTTTTTTTTTTTTTTTTGGGTGAATCGTTTCCTGTTTTCTTGCTTTACTCCATATCAGTTGGTGGCGGTAATGCACATTTCACAAGTTTGCCAACCGCCATAAAATCTCATAAGAAGAAGAAGAAGAAAGTTGCTCTCACAGCTCCTTCGCTTTGTTTTACCTCATTATCACACAGCTATGGCGGACATCCAGGAGGAGAAGCTGTACACGGCGGAATACGCTAAAAGCGGCCGCGCTTCTTGCAAAAAATGCAAAGAAAGCATCGCTAAAGGCTCACTGAGGATAGCCATCATGGTGCAGGTGAGATGGCCACATCCGGGGGGGATTTATCCAAGAAATTTTCCCTCTTTTGAAGCTTATTTCATCCCTGCTGACTTTTTAACTATTTTCCATCGTTTTACACACAATAAGCTCTTCTGCTTCTCTCTTTAAGCTTAAACGTACTGAAAAAAAAGTGGTTTCAGTTGCTAAGTTAGGCCTTAGTTAGCATTTAAATGGCTTGCATGGCGTGCTAGGTTGTTGCTGACAAAGAGCCGCTCAGCTTTTCTTAATTCTTCTGTATTGGATGGTTTACTGGATCACTTAAGAACCTAAGTCCAGTAAAATACGCACAGGCTAAACCAGTTGAGAGTATCCTCAGCATCTCCTCCTGCTGTGCAAACTTCTGCATCCTCCCAGCCTTTAGGAGAACAGATTGTTGGAGTCATGGACTCCATGGCCTGTGCAGCAGCTCCAGCTTTACAATCATTTGCTTCCCTTTATTGTCAATAAAAACCATTTAGTCCAGATTCAATCAGAGGTCAGCAGTCTGAATAAGGTTAATGATTAAGCTCTTATCTCCAGTTTTTTACTTTATTTTAGCAGTAATTCGTAAATATTTTCTTCCTCTCCTCCACATCTACTGACCCTGTAGGACAAATCGGATGTATAACCACATTCTGTGTGGAAAATAATACATTTAGGTCACACCGAGCTTGGTTCTGCTGGAGATTTCTTCTTGTTAAAAGGGAGTTTTTCCTCTCCACTGTCGCTATACGCATGCTTAGTGTGAGGGATTACCTTTGAGTCAATGAGTCGATGCAATCAACTGGTTTTCCTTAGATAGTAAACTTTGAATCAATTTGACTGCATGATATGGTGAAGTGCCTTGAGAAGACTTGTTGTGAATAAATAAATAAACTGAATTGAATTGTTTATGTAATTCTATCTTTTATTTTTTATTTTATCAGGCTGATTTACTGATATCAACTTTATTGAAAATGACTAATAATTAATATATAACTAATAACATTTGGATTCTTGTAAAAATTGCAGTGTACAAAAGTAGAAGTGGGTAATATTTTGATTTTTTTTTTCCCATCACGTCTTATTATTATTATTATTATTATTATTATTATTTTATTTTTGTAAAGTGAAACCCCCTGCCTCTTTTTTTTTGCACAAAAAAAGAGTTTGGTTCCGTCTAAATATTTACTCTGCAAACACCTGATTGGCTCCTAACATAATGAATAAACCTGACTGAACATTGTCAATTATAAAGCACTATCATTATAGATCCAAGATATTTCACTGACGTTGATATTGGATGTATATTAGCATAGCTAAAGCAGTCAGTGAGTAAAATTAGGCCGTTATTAACAACAGCTTATAGTGCTGCAGCGCAGGGTTAAACTGACGCAGAGAAGAAATGTAAGTGAGGTGTTTGGGGTTTTTTGGAAAGGATAAAGAAATGATTCCGTTGCTGAAATTAGCAGTAAATAACAGTTATCTGCCCAAATCTTCAGTGTGAAGGATTTAAGTTTATCTGTAAGTAAAATAACTATTATATATTTGTTGTTTTTAGAAAATATGCAAGCAAAGAAATGCAATGAAAATCCTTTTGACTCTTTTTTAAATTTGAGAAATAACTGATTTATATGAAAGGATTATTTAAAATATTTACAGTATTCAATAAATCAAAAATTATTATGACTTAAAGTTTAGTGATAACTTTAAAGTTATCACTGTTCCATGTTTAACCATTGATAACTTTAAACCTGCCAGTTTGGATTACGCTGATGTGAACCCAATCCATGGTTCTGGATCTTTTGGTCTCGATGCTTTTATATTCATAAAATGTCCTTAATTTGTCACATCATCTATTAAACTTAAATTGAGCAGTTCTTTCAATTGAAAATGCTAAATATATATACATTATCATTTAGAGTTCTGGTTTTAAGGATTTTATAGATAAAAGCTCAATTTGATTGGATTTAATCTGTTTTGCAAAAATAACACCAGGAATCCTTCATGTTCAACAGTTTGGAAAACTCTTAATGATCAATTTCTAGAATTTATAGAGCTAGATGGGTTGTTTTAGAACCTTTAAGAAATATTTTTATAAGATCCTTTAAAACGTATAAAATAAATCTTCCAATAATAAGAAAATCAATCCCTTTGACTCCTTGTTGTTAGACCTTATACATTCCTGTGTAATTATGTCTCCTCGCTGCAAAGTTCACATAATTATTTTCCACCATCTCTGATGTTTGCGGTCGCTTACGTGTAAACATGCTGCTGACGCCGTTTGATGTTTGTCCTCCAGTCGCCCATGTTTGACGGGAAGGTCCCCCACTGGCACCACTTCTCCTGCTTCTGGCTGCGAGCGGCGGCAAAGTCACCAGCTGACATCGCCGGCTTTTCCGACCTGCGCTGGGAGGACCAGGAAAAGGTGAAGAAGGCCATCGAGAGCGGCGGAGCAGTCGGGATAGGTCAGTGCTCGGTTTGTGGAGATGCTGGAGTTTTAATCATTATAAGCAGAGGCTGTCTGGTTCATTTATTTAATGAAGACGACATAGAATAAACTAAAGAAGAACAAGCAAATATCATCTGCTGACTCTTTTGTCCTGATAATTAGTTTTTCACATTTATGGTTTCTGCTGGACTGAGTTAATTGCTTTTTATGACACCCATAATTTCTGCAGCAAAAGGTGGTCAGAAGAGTGCCGCCGCAGGAGAGAAGACGCTGAATGATTTTGCGGTGGAATATGCCAAATCCAACCGCAGCACGTGCAAAGGCTGCGAGCAGAAAATAGAAAAGGTTTGCACCAGTGCTGCTCCCATGAAGCGATTAACGACCTTCAGCTGCTTTGTAATGAATTTACCACATTTTCTGGTTTAGGACCAGATCCGGGTGTCCAAGAAGACTGTGGACCCAGAGAAGCCTCAGCTGGGCCTGATCGACCGCTGGTACCACACGGCGTGCTTCGTGAGCCGCAGGGAGGAGCTGCTCTTTAAGCCTGAATACAGCGCCGCCCAGCTGAAGGGCTTCAACGGGCTACGGGCAGAAGATAAGGAGGAGCTGAAGAAGCGGCTGCCTGCTGTCAAATCTGAAGGGTGAGAAAAACAATAACGAACAGGATTCCCTTATCGGTCCGCCAGTCACGTGACATTTGTTGCTAAAACGCCATTTTAGGTGGAAAAGGTGTAGTGTAACGCGCCCGAGGTAAACAATTGACGTCACTTGGCGGAGACCGATAGTCTGGATTTAAAGGATCTCCCGGATTTTATTCCTGTTTTCCTCTCGTGATTAATCAATTATTGAAACAATCCTCAACTAATTTAGTAATTGATTAATACTTAACTGGAGTTTAGAAACTCTAAAACATGCCTTAAGATGACAGAGCATCCCACCAAGAGTAACAATTATTCCAAAATTGTAATAAAAATATGTAAGATAAACAAAACTTAATTATCTGTCAATATTTTAAATCCAGAAGTCAACAAGTAGAAAAGTTTTAGTATCACCTGGTTTAATTCTTTTAAAAAAGTCTTCTTTAAGGAACCTTTAACTATCTGATTAGTAATTGATTAACTGGGAAAATAATCAACAGATTAATCAATTATCAAAATAATCGTTATTTGCAGCCCTAATGTCCATATTGTAAATGTCTGAATTTCTGAAGTGTTATTAATCCATCCATCATCACGTCCATCCAGATTATCAATATGTCCTCTGTTTAGATATGTAAGATTTCTATTCATATATGAACAATGGTTATAAATTCAAGGCAAAATCTTTCTTTTTTTTTCCTTTATAGGGCAGGTTACTGTTTTTGATCACTTGCATACTCCTAACAGATGTAGTCCCCCCGTCCTACAGTGAGGTTTAGAAACACAAGATCTATATCCAGCCATTCAGCAAAGATGCTGCTACATGGCTGTACATATTATTCTGGCATTTGACCAATTAGATGAGCCCTTGAATGATAGATTACCTACTGTAAATTTAGTTTTAAAAAAAAGTTAACGAGTCGAGAAAAAAGGTAAAGAGCTAATTGAAAATAAACATGTTTCTTTAATTCTTAGAGTGGTTTTCGGAATTTCTTATAGAAGCACTTTTGTTATTTTTCTTAATGTATTCAGGCAAGTTGGCATTTCTTCAGGGTTCCCGCGGGTCCTTAAAAGTCCTAAAAGGCATTGAATTCTTCAAAATAAAACTAAGGCCATTAAGTGGTATTAAAATGTCTTTATCAGTCTTTCGTAGGCCTTATTTTTTCATAAATATAAATAGGATTATTTTTATTACGATTTATTTTTGTAATCTAAATAAAACATTAAAATTAAAAACATTTTTTTATTAAAAAAATATAACGGCTCGCCATTACTGGTTCCGTCCCGAAAGCGGAACCAATAAAAGCGTTGTTGCGGCCGGGACATTTGGGAGATGCGCCATTTACTTTTTGTCTGGAAAATATGAGCAAGTGTAAATGTTACCAAAATTGTCTATCCAGCCAAGAGTTTTCTCCATGGCTAAAACCAGGGAACATACATGAGGCACAATGCATTTTGTGCAAGATGTCATTCAAGCTCGGAACGATGGGATTTAAGGCAGTGGAGTCGCATGCGAAGCACGAAACACAAAGCGTCAAAATGGAGTTACCGAGAGACAGCCAGTATTTCTCAGTTTAGTTCCACCCTTGTCTCTGCAACGCCTCCACTTATCACCAAATCAAACATACCAAGAAAACGATACAAAGAAAAATAGCTGCAAAAAAGACTTAGCACTGGTTATGTTGTGGCTTTAAAACTGATTTGTTTTGTTCCTTGCTAAAACAATGTTTGTGAATTCAGTTAAATAATTTTTAAAATATATCTGTCATTTGTGTGTTTTTAGCTTCCTTGCTGTATGGGAAGCTTTTCAAAATGTGAAACATTAGTTCAGTGGTTTATGTTGAAATAAACCTCTGGGTTAAGTTGTCACAAGCATGTTTTTCTTGTGTTTCTTGTGAATTTGGTCTTAAATTTTTGTTTCAAGTGGCATTAAAAAGTCAAAAAGTATTGAATTTAACTTGTCTTATGCTGTAGGAACCTTGTTCTTGTTATTACAATGACATACATTTTTATTATCAAAATATCCATAGTTTTAAAATGTTACTTGTTACTTACTTATGATCTTGTCCTGAATTCCAATAACACTACTGGCTTGAAATTTAGATTTTCAGAGTATTTCACTTAGTTTCCTCTAAAGGGTTAATTTAGTATGTTTTGATTGGAAAATGCAGAGAAATATCTACAGGATCACTTTTTAGGCCTTGAATTTGTTTCCTCTCCTCTGTCGGACAAGTTTGGCGCGTCTCTGCTTCTGAACGTCGTGCAGCACAAGAAAATGGCCTTAAAAGTGTCCCTGAAAGCTGTCATGGTGTATGCATAAAGGAACGGATTGACGGCAGAGTTGGCGTGCGATAGGATGATGGCGGCCAGCAGCAGCTCTAACGGCACGGGGCAGCGAGGGCAGAGCAGCAGGAAGCAGTTAATGATGTGAAGAGGGATCCAGCAGACCGTGAAGAGGAAAAGGACCAGGAAGAGAGAGGTGGCCATCTTCATCTCCCTCCGCATGCTGGCTGCCGCTCGGCTCTGGCCGTCTGCTCTGCTCCGCTGATCCGGTCCTATTCGTCGCACTTGCTGCTTGACCGTGACGAAGATCTGAGCGTAGATGAGAAACATGATGATCAGAGGCACCAGCACACAGGCGAAGAAGTTAAAGTAGACCATGTAGGTCATGTCCACCACCAGGACAAAGAAGCAGTAGCCCGAGTCGGGCGGCGTCTTGTGCCAGCCCATGAGCGGCACCAGCCCGATGAGGAAGGCCAGGAACCATGTGGCGAGGATGACCAGAACCGCGTTCCGAGGCGTCATCAGGACGCGGTAACGGAAAGGCATGAAGATGGCGACGTAGCGCTCTACAGCTACGGCCAGGAGGCTAAAGATGGAGCTCTGAGTGAACATGATCAGAACGCTGAGCATGAGGAGGCAAAGGTAGAGGTTATAACGAGGTAAGCCAGCGCCTGTCAGGATGGCACAAGGAATGGCGATCATACCCACGCAGATATCCGCAACCGCCAGCGACACCAGGAAGTAGTTGGTGACTGTGCGTAATTTGCTGTTGAGACCCACGGCAGCACAGACCAGCAAATTACCCAGAGTCGATAAAAAGGCGATGATGAGCTCAGCCGTCATGTACGGCACATTTGGGGGAGTCACCACATCAGCAGATGGAGGCGGTGACATGGAAACAGATGAGAAATTCAGGGGATCTAGACGAGCTGAGGGGGGGCTGTGTTGGACATCATGGGGGTACAATGAAGCCAGAGGGTTTCCCATTATTCTCCTAAAAACAGATAGAAGAGAAATCAGTGAGATTGCTGAGTCATATTTTTCTTTGTCTAACCAAAGTTTGTTCATGGACCCATGCAATGAAGAAGAGGGCTTCACATTTTAACACATCTACAAAGTGTGGCATCTGTTTGTATTTTTTCTGAGTCCGTTCTTTCTAGATTCACCATCTGCATCAACAGGGCTCGATGTTAACCATTGACCAATCGCCCGGGGCAAGTAGTTGTTATTGTCGGGAGAGTACAAATTTCATTGCATTTGTCCGCCGGGCAAGTGCAATGATCGCAAAAAAAATTTTTTTCTTACTCAAAATTACTTTAAAATAACAGACATTCGCTGAAAACGACCCACAAGCGTTGCCGGCGCCATTTTTGTTGTCTTGTACACATTCTTGTGTGATGTGAAAAGCACGCTAGATTAAACATGATCAGTCAGGGATTGGGAAAATGATAATAATAATGTATGCGCTCAGTGTAAATACTTCTATCATATGGCAGTGTTCTGTACAGTGGTCATACATTAAAAATGTTCATTTGTTTTTTTTCTTTTAGACATTGGCCGGGTGCATTTAAATGTTATAGAGCTAAACATGTTAAATTGTTAAAGTGTAAGTTTTTAACCTGTCAAGTTTTTTTTAGATTTTTAACATTACAATTTATATTTTTCCAAGCACACAACAGTTTAAAGCAAAGTTTAGTTTGAAAAGAATGTGCAGGAAGGATTGGAAAGCATGTTAACACGGTAATGTAGGCTTGAGTTCATTATCTGACACATGCATATACACACCAGGTACCTGTAAACTTACTGAATTACAAAAAAACATTTAAAAAACAAACATGTTTCATTGATATATAAACAATAATGAATATTAGGAACTATATTTATCAAACATTATACTGGGCAAGTAAAAATTGTTTCTGGGAAAATGAAATGTGAAAGTCACTAAGTGGTAAAAATCCTTAACGTCAACCCCTGATCAATGAACACCAGTTTTTAAATGTTTCCAAACCTCCTTCTCTAGACCATTCCAGCATATAAATCCTCAGCTGAAGCTTTAGCTCCATGTTGTGGTTCTTTTTCTTGCCTGAAGTTGATTCTTTTGCAGCTTCTAATGGGTTTTCCTCCAGGTTGACCCCATTTATTTACCTTCATCAGCTCTGACCTGCTTCTCTACCTGCTGAAGGAAAGCATCCCCACAGTAGTATTTATCAGGGCATAATTTTCCACCACAGCATGGGATTTAAAAATAAAACCTCCTTTCATGTAAAAGTGAGTCCTCTAGCTTTTCTTCAACAGTTTATTAGCCCTGCTGTAATTTAATTAAAGTCACATTGGAAAGCTGCAAATCTTACAGTTTTCCTGTCAATTGTGTCTCACACCTTAGCTATGCTTACCTTTAGCCTTTTTGCTGCTCATCAATCTCCTTAACTGGTTGCAGTTGTGCAGTAATCTTTGGTATTTAGATGGAAAAGCTCTCCAAGTCTGTTTTCTGCTCAGCTCCTTGGTCTTCATGAGGAGATAAAACCTCTGAGAACTATATAGATGCTCTACATTAATAGAATAAATCATTAATAGTTCATCAGGATAATTTGGTTCTTTTAATTCTTACGAATATAAAAGTAAATTATCGTACAACAAACAAATGCCACACCTTATACAGTTCTTATGTGTTAAAAATGCCATTTTTCTTCATTTTAAGGGACTACTTTGTTTTGGTTGATGACAAAAGATCCACAAGAACTGAGAGAAAAGTTTGTGGTGAATATAGAAAACAAAGAACAAGCATGATGTTGGCAGAAAAGGAAAAAGGGAATGATTAAAAAGCACATAAAACAAATCTATTATTAGACGGCCAAAGATGAAATCTAAAAACCTTCAGAAGAAAATCACTAAGTAATTACTATTTAACACCTTTTGTTTTCTTTTTCATCCAATTATTATCATTAACAGTCTCCACTTTGATGCACATTGTCAAGTTAAGCAAAAATCTGTTGCATAAGGGATGAGGTTTCCTGTAAAGTTTTGAATAATCTTGTAGAATATTTTGGTTGGATTTAAAGTTACGGTCTCTTAAAAAAAAAAACAGAATGTTTTTCCTTCTCACCTGTTATGTTAATGCATGTATGTTTGTATATCAGGAAATAAAATAAGAAAATACTAAAAACTTAAAAGTGAGGACATTTAATGAAGAAACATCCAAAAATGTATTAAAATAAATATGTAATAAAATCTTTTAAAATAATGAATGAAATATTTATGTTTCTGTAAAATGGTGTTAGAAGTTGAATGAAAAACAATAAAAGTTATGAGGAAAATAAAAATAACCGTATGTGTAATGGAACCAAACCAAAACCAAATATGCACATAAAAGAAAACTGATAAAAAATAAGACTGAAGCTTAGAGGTATTAGTATAGAGAAATCCAAACTCACAGCAGTCCTCAGATCTTCCTGAACGCTGCTCCGATTGTAGATGAAGGGGGATTTTTTTAGCTGGAGGTGCAAACAGATCTAAGAGGTTTGCAGGACTTGGAAGTGGAAAAATAAACAAGATGAGGAAAGAACTTTAAAACAGCACGTCTATAATGCTTTAAGATAGCTGCATTCTGAGGTTTATTTTCCATTTCTTTTCATTGAAGCAAAGCGTGATGAAGTTTAATGATCATTTAATGCTTTCCAGCTGAGCGGTTGCTTACCCATTCTTTTATGATTGTCCCTGGTGTCCTCTAGACAGCCTTCTTCAATTAGAACACATCTGCAGGATCCTAATTTAAACAGCTTTCCTTTTTCCCCCTGATGTCATCTGCTGTGTTTGATCAGGGAGGTTTTGTCTTGTTTTTCCCTCGAACTGGAAATAAATCAAGGGGGATGATTACCTCTGGTCTAATGGTCTCAGTGGGATGGCCATTATTCCTGTCTGGACATCATCAGGAATCAGCACTGACATGCACCAGCTTGTGTTTGGATCTTTGTCCATTAACTGATGAGGGCCTAATGAACAAGTGTTGATGAATAAAGGTGTTGGATTCAGGCTTGTTTGCTTCTCACCTCTGTTGTTGTGCTCTGTCCCATTGTGCCTCATTTAGGAAGTAATTGATGATGATGTCTGACCTTATCCTGCGTCCTTTCTGAGCTTTGAAAACTTTCTGAAGTTTGGTTTGTTTCCCCAGGAAGCGTAAATCCGATGAGGTGGACGGAGCTTCGAAGAAACAGAAGAAAGAGGAGGAGGAGGAGGAGGAGAGGAAGAAGCTGGAGGAGCAGCTGAAGGTTTTACACTTTGTTTACAGATCTTTGGCCTTAATAAACACATTTGGTTAATGTTCACATCATCTGCATGTGTAATTAGAATCAGAGCCAGCTGATTTGGGGTATCAAGGACAAGCTGAAGAAGCATTGCTCAGTCAACGACATGAAGGAGCTGCTGATTGCAAACGGCCAGGATGTTCCCTCCGGAGAGTCCAACGTAAGAACATAACATAAAGTTGCTGTCTTTAACTGAAACCATAAACATACTTTTGAATTGAATAATTAGTTTTAATTATTATTTAAGCAATGGTTAGAAATCCATTGTACTGCATAACTATCCAGTCTGCTTCACTGGCACCCTTAGTAGACATGCAGGAATCCTAAAATGAGCTAATCTTGCATTGAAGTTCCTTAATCCAATCTAAACAGGCTCAGGCTAAAAAATACTTTATTAATCCCAACGTGAAATTAAATATTCTTTAATTTCAGTTGCCAAGCATTTTTGCTTAGTTTCGCTTTATATTTGATTTCACAGATTGTGACTTAATTTAGTTTTTGGAACATAGATGAAACCAAAACAAGGAAAATATCCCAGATTCTTTTGGTCTTCAGTCGGTCGGAAACAATCAGATTAATCCCGATTAATTGATTATTGAAATAATTGTTGACTAATTTAGAAATCGATTACTTGTTAACTGGAGTATAGAGACTCTATAACATGCCTTGAACTGACAGTGGACACTCAGAGCAGTAATTATATCAAAATTGTAAGAAAAATAAAAAATAAACTTTTTGCTTTTAAGATAAAAAATATTTAATTAATATGCTCTATGCAGAACTCCTCAAGTGGAAACATTTGAGTTTCACCTGGTTTAATATCATGATGTCCTTTAAAGAATCTTTGGCTATCTCATTATTAATCGATTAAGTAGAAAACTAATCGACAGATTTTAATCGATTTGCAAAATAATCATTAGTTGCTGCCCTAGTCTTCAGACTTTCCCCGATCAGCGTGCAAAATTAGCTGTTTTTCTTTAGCGGTTTAGACACCAAACAAAGCATTGCTACTTCTGTTTCTATTGAATTTGATTTTTACAAACAAAATGGAATATTTTAAGCTCTTATCAACATTCCATAACAACACTAAGGAGCTAATAGTTCCTTAGGCAAAGGCACATTTATTTGTATAACACAATTCAGTACAAAGAAAATGCAAAGGGCTTTACATGATTAAAATATAGGAAAATAAAACACAATCGGAGCAAGTAGAAGAACAAATAAATAAAAAAATAATAAAAAAGATGCAGAAACAAGAAAGAACATTAAAAGCAGTTGGACTAAAGAAAAAAAATAATAAATTGCTAAAAGAAAAAAAAGGCTAAAAAAATTGCTCAGTGCTACTATTATAAACATGAACATGCTGTTTTCTTTACTGTACCTGGATTGAGCTGGAATCTTGTCCTTGGATCAGATGAAAATAAATTTGAGTTTTCAGCAACAAAAGCAAAAAATTATCCTGATAGACCTGGAGTGAATTAAAGGATAAAACTACTATAACAACACCTGTTACACACGGTAGAGGATATATTATGCTGTGGATCTCCTTTTCTCTCTTAAAATGTCCCTTAAAATGTTTGATGGCAACATCAACTCCTAAACCTCAGGACATAAAAAAGGAGAGAAAAAGGGAGCGAGTTTAGAAAGGTGGCTCTATTTTAAGGCTTCTTCCACATCCTATATATTTCAATTCAAGCAAACTTTATTTATAAAGCACTTAAAATTTCTTCAAATTCCTTTAAAGTAATGTACAGTGAAACAACATAAAAACATTACAAGACATAAAAT